AGGCTGGAGCAAACGATAGCTGGCGTACGGTATGGTTTTATGTTAGATATATCGAACTAGTCCATGGTGGTTTACCCTCTGGTAATCTAAGAGTTAATAGCTAGATAAATTAAATTGTAAATGGGCCATGTTCCATAGCAAGCTCTTACATTGTCAGAGGGCACAGCAACAAACATTTCACTTCTGGGACCACCAGCTTTTCCATCATTTTCCCAACGGCCGCAAGTCGCCGCAAGTCGCCGAGCAACTTTCCGGGCTCGGCAGGCGTGCAGCCAAGATGATCTCAGCCGCCTTCACGCACCATTCACTGTAGACCTAGCGACAGCCGAGTCGTCTGTTGAGGCCTCGGGACCTCAACCTGAAAAATGATGGAGTTCGTCAATGGGGTTGGGATGACATCCCTTTTTTATATTATGGAAGTCATCATCCAGCCATGTTCCAAAGCACCAAGCAGTGATGCTTCGAATCCCCATCCCGACATCCTTTCTTCATCCATGTTCCACACCAAGCTGATTGGATGAGATGCAAACCTGTGTAGTTGCTATTCATGGGTGAAGTCTCCACTCAGTGATTCAAATCCCCATGTCTTCAAGTATTTCATGGAATAGTGTTCCCCATGTCTATTGGTTAAAACATGTTAAAATGGTGAATTCCCCACTAACTTGACTCTTTGTTAAACGTGTTAGTTTGCTTTAAACACCATTGCTGATCTTTGGGATCTCCGGGTATTTGATGATTATTCCCCCAATCCTAAGCATCATCCACCGTAAGTGAAATCAGTTTCTGTATATCCCCAAATGATTGATGATCACAACCTTTTTCAAAGAAACAAACAACGCTGCTTTGTGGTCAAAATCTGAAAAAAACATGATAAAACATGGATGCTTCGACCATCTATAACTATACTATACTATATACATATCTATACCCATAGGATCCATGGTGCTGCCATATATGGTAACATTTACCATCACTATACCCCAAATGTTAGCATATATACCAGCACCATGGATCCTATGGGATACATCATTACTATGTCAACTGCCTTTTTAGCGACCAGCTTATAGGAGCGGAGGAGGTGACCTTCTGAATCTGCTGCCCCGCCGCCGCGGAGGCTGCCATAGCACGCCCTGTGCAGAGCTTGGAAAAAGGATCCATCCACCATCCCCGAATTGACATGGTATATGTTGGTATAGTATAAACCATCAATTCATATGGGTGGTTCATAAAATTGCGTTACATAAAACATCATTCAACAATATTAAATATTAGTGTTTTTTTGTTCTGAACATGGGGTACACCTGATGGTTTGTCTCAAAAGTTTGCCGCACTAAAATTGCCGTTTGGGGGGATGTAGCCCATTTTCATACACACCCATTGTGGATATCACATGATCCAGTCATCAAACAAAATGATGATGTATAGTAAGAAATTTACCTACTGAAATGGGGATCAGTAGTGTTTTTTTTTAATGGGACAATTCCGAAGAATATGGTGATATGGTGAACGATTTCATGATTCGTTAGCATAATATAGCATAATGTCACAGTGAGACTTCCTTGAATTCGAAAATCAATGGACTGGCTTTGGGACCAAGTTGCAGGAAACCATTACCCGGCCTGGTAAACGTTTACAAAAAACTATGGAAAGATCCACCATTTTTAATGGGAAAATCCACTATTTCTATGGCCATTTTCAATAGCTATGTTTGTTTACCAGAGGGTACATTTTAGTCTTGCATTTATGGGTTTCGTTCAGGTGTTCCCTTCAACCTATTCCAAGAAGAAAACTGACATGGAACCCCAAAAATTTGGCAATTCCACTGGTACACTCATCTTCCAATTCTTCCAGACCCAATTGTGAGGATTCCAAGTTAGTTTGCAGCAGGGCAACACACGTAAAGTGAGATAAACATGGGAAGTGGGTGTTGGAACCCCAAAAAAACAATATGAGTTTGGTTTATTCCAACAAACGGAACTCAAAACAAACACACGCACACACATGTATCCTGCAATACAGTAGCATGACCTAGACATTTCCAATCTTAGACACCTTGTTTCAAATAAAAGACTGGTAAACATCCCAAGGTATAGCATAGGATTGAGTGTTAAAGTACCTGTTTAAGGTTGATCTAATAAATAGCTAACAAAGAACATCAAACAACTGCAACTACTTGACCCAAATCCATCAGATTCCTCACTCCCGTGCTTACCGCGCAGCGGTCTGCGCTAACCGCGCGGCTCATCCACAACTATGTACAGAGGGCTTACCGCGCAATCGGTAGTTGTTACTGTGTTTTGTTATGTTTTGTTGACATGGGAATGGATGAATATCTATCTATCATTTTCTGCTGGGATGAACATTGATAATATTCCAACCAACGATTTCGGGTATGAAAACCAAAGTGCCAACCACTCTTGCGTCTCGATTCAGTGCTCACATTTTAAGATTCGAATGTTGGCGGTGCAAAGTAGCTCAGAGTCCCCCAACCCTAAAGTTTTGCAGGCTCTGAGGTCTAAGTCTAAGATAGATAGATATAGATAGATATAGATATAAACATATTGTAACAAATTGGACAATGGGAAAGAAACATGATCCGAACACCATTCTGAAAACGAGTAACGGCTATCCAACAAACCTGTCCGATTCCTCTTGCTCTTCAGAGCAAATCTCCAAAGGGTTGGATATGCATTGTATTTTCCATATGGTAATCATGCCTGGCAGCCGTGGTTTTGGAACACGTTTCGATATTTTCAATGGGACTTTTTCATGATTATTTGGTGTTTCATATATAAAAAGGGGGGATGCCTGAAAACCCATGGGCTTTTTAAAATTTATTTTGGATGATTTTCAAGAATTGTCCATGTAGCAACTGTCGCCGGGCCCTTCAGCCAGGCTGGGACAAAAGAAAGGCGGCGGGTTTTTCAGCGGATCCCGCTTGCCATTAACAAGGCGTCCCACAGCCGCACCATTTGTGGTGGTTCATCCCTAGTAAGTAGGTTACAACTGCAGTCTATGAGGGGACTTACCCTACTTATCCTACTTGTAAATGGGGTTATAGTTATCTAATTACAAACTATTTACTAAGTGGGATTAGCCACCAAGTTGGCAACTTGATGTCGCAGGCTTTGCATCGGCCACTGAATCACTTTCTCCTACACTGTACAGTACATCAAAAACCTCAGAGTTTGGGCATTGAAACGTATTGTGTAACAACCAAATTTCGAAGTTTGCAAGCTATGTTAACATTATTGTGTTTCAAACCCTTTGGGTTTTGGTAACCGTATTTACTAACATGTCCGGGTCTCAAACCTACACCGGCGGCTAACAACGATTTTTCTTCAGTGGGTCTTATGACCAAGCCACACTCATCGCGGGGATCCTCCCAATTGTTCAATGAACAGCGAAATCTCGTTTGGAAAGTTCGGGGAACTTGCTGGCAATCACACCTTCGTCGCAAACCTCTTAATCGTAAATCCACATTGTCGATCTATGTCGATCTTATATGCAGATATCTATGCTGAATATTGCTGATTTATCTTTGGTGTTTCAAGCTTTGCAATTAATTACTGAAAAGCTTCAAGACTCTGGTCCGCTTGCAATGCCAAAGTGGCTGTATACGCTGCTGTGGACAGGCAAAATGTCAATTAAATTAACTTAAGACTTGCAGCTGATTGTTGTCCATGTGCTCCCTTTAAGCAATGCTGGTTGGGTCGCATCTGCCACTTGAGGAAGCATATCCAAATCCATGGAAGTTACTGGTAGCTGCCTTTGACCATCCATATCAGCAACAAAATACCCCAAAAAAATACACTGGAGTATACTGGATTGTCCCATATTGTCCCCATCAACAACTGTCATTTTGGGGTTTCAACCGCTGCAGCTGCAACCATGTCCTGTCTGCACCTTTTACCCATCGCATTAGATGTAGCCGCTACCGCCTCGGACCGAGCTGGTTCCGAGCTGCATCATCCACCGAGGTGGCATCATGCTGGATTTTTCAACAAGCTCTGCTCCAACCAATCGCTGCCTGCATTCCAACTTTTTGAAAGCAAGAACAACATGTACTAAGGAATCTAAAAGTTAGAGAACTCAATGGTTGAACAAACCACATGTAAGATGCATTTTTTGAACTTTGGAAATACACCCCATACCATCAACAAAACAACGATTTTTTATCATATGTAATCTATGAAACGATATACAGGCTGGTGGATTCCAAGGGTCCGCAATTTTCAGTACCCCCATGCTCAGTGTATCCCTAGCTGTCAGCATCATCAGACGCCTCGATAGAGTCGCGGCGGCGCTGTGTCCAGGCTGGTTCTGTTTCAAATCGAAGGCACCAAAAGGCTACACCTACAGTGCAGGTTGTTTATGATATAGTCATTCACCTGTATACGTAAAAAAAAAAAAAACAAATACCGTGTGTTTATGTATAATCCATTGATCTAATTCAGGAGTTGGTCAACTATCATTCTACCTAATGAATCCGAATGATCTATCTGTATATGTATATCATAAATGTCCTGATAGTTCTTTTCCTACAAAAATGTCATCTGTCACCACTGTCCACCTCAAAAAATGTAAGTCGCTGGGATCATGTTGGCACAGCAAAGTCCTATGTAATGCAACAAAATGGAATCTATTCAAACCATTCACATCATGGATTTTACTTGTTCAAACAGTCAAATGTTCATCATGCTGGACCTGCAGCTATTCCAAAGGTGACAGCTGGAATAGACTGGACACTTTAGTTTAGCATCTTTTAGCCATGAAGCCATGTATTTCAGCCTCGGTTTCAGCTCAGCCGCATGACATTGGCCGAAGGTTTAAAATAATCCAACTGCCCAACCGCCGGAAAATTCACAGATTTCTGGCCAACCAATAATTACGTGCTTCAAACATATGCAATTACGCCAATTGGTCGATGCACCCTATTAGCGTACACTTAATTTATGAATTGGATGTGAATTGCATTTTTTGGGGGGTCTGGTTGTTTGACGGACGCCCCTGGTCTGGATCCCAGCAATTTCATAGTTCTCTTGCCGCGCGCAGGGGACATCTGCCCCCACGCCACGCCACGGCGGTTGTTGTAACTGGCAGCAGACTCGAACTACTTAGCGGGGAGGTGGCATCCTGACGAGGCGCGACGCGAGATAAGGATGGATCACAAGTTGACAAATACCCAGACCTGATACCCAGGGAATGGTCCAGAAATGGTTGATATCCCCACTTAGATTCATGGGTCCGAATGATATAAATGTGTAATAAACAATTAACCAACTGACTGGTTGGTGGTTGAGCCACCCCTCTGAAAAATATGAAAGAGTTCGTCAATGGGAAGGATGACATCACTTTTTTATGACATGGAAGTCATAAAAGCCATGTTTGAAAGCACCAACCGATGATACCCTGCATTTCCATGGGGTAGTTGTTGCCAATTTTGGGACTACCATATTTTACCAATTTTTGCTGGGTACTTGGAGGGGCTAAGCTGAATTTACCGGAGGCTACTTACATGGGCCAAAAGACTAGTTGAGGGGATTTCACTTGTTAGTGACTGGCTATATCATGGTCTACTCACCCGTTAATCCCTTGGCCCATCTAAGTATGCTTGGCTGTGCAGTTGGGGTTATGGGTCAAAATGCTGCCGAATATGGGAAATGATGGGATGATTATATATAGTATAACCTTCATAAGTTGAGATAGAGGTTGGTAATAATCGCAATATATTCACAGGAGTCACAGGAAGGGGAGCCAAGTTATAAGTTGGTTGATAACCTTATGTTGTGTTGTTCACTGCAGATATATCCACCAGAAACCCTAGTGGCTGCGGTTATAAACCAACTTAGCTATCCATGGGGAATCCTATAGGGAATCACGATGAATCACGCATGTTGGTCATTTTTAGAGGTTCTGTTTGAATGCGTCAAACCATCCCTGCGATCATCCCTGCGTTTTTCCAAGTTCCCACTTTCAAACGCTTCTGATTTGGCATCCCACATGGGTTACTGCTGCAAAAATGGTGCTTGAGGTGCCTATGCTAGTTGCTTGAGCTGCTTGTGCAACATGGAAACCCCAAACTGGGTTGCACAAAAATGCAACTCTCCCTCCGCCCCCCAAACAAATACAGCCAGCCAGTGTTTGTTGGGAATTACCCCTATAGCCAATCTGAGATACCCGGCAGGAAATATTTGTAAAGTAACCTTTCAGTAAATTAACATAGACCCTGGCAGATAGGGATTGGAAGATTAGTTTCCACTAGAAAACTGTTATTTTCAGGGCCTATGTTAATTTACCAGAGGGTACATTAAAGTACATATCCCCACCAAAATGGCAACATATGAAATTGTCCTAACCTTCACCAGTGGCTTTCACCATGTTCTGGATGACAAAAAATCCACAACTTGTTGGTTAAACCTCCACTCTTACTAATTGATCTATTCCTCAAGCTTGAAACATTTTTTTTGGATGTATAACATATTCCCATCTCTCGTTGGTAAAACCCTATGGCCTATTTTGATTAACTGGTACTAAACTTCCAAGGTTGACCCAAATTGTTTTCTTACTTAACTTGGTTCCCTTCAACTCCACACCTGGGATTTCCGTTTTTTTTTTGAATTCTGAATACCCCCAGATTACGGGTCAGGAAAAAAAAACAACCAGATTCAATCCCTAGTATTTCAACCCAAGATATCACTTACACGATCTTGATGCTCAAATACCAATGACATAATTACCTTGTTAAATCCCATGATATATCCCATTAAATCATCATGTTTCCCTAGTTCAATCACCATTTTCCCCAGTTAAATCACCAAACACTCACTTACATTTTTCCGGAAAACCCATCATTTCTAGATGATTCTAGGGAAACCAATGGGTTTTCCATGGTTTTCCACATAGACCCTGTTAAACCACCACCAAAAACATCACCGCCCGGGACGGCCGGGATCCGCACCTCATCCCGGGCGCCGGGGCAAAGGGAGGAGGTATCGCGGGAGTCCCAGGTGCCTTAGGCAGAAAGGTGAGGCTCGTTAAGTTGGGGCTTCTGGCAACCGGAGATACCACTATAAATGGTGATTTAATGGTGATTTAACCAACAGGAAAATGGTGATTTAATGGTGATTTAACCACTAGGAAAATGATGATTTAATGGTGATTTAACCACTAGGAAAATGGTGATTTAATGGTGATTTAACCACTAGGAAAATGGTGATTTAATGGTGATTTAACCACTAGGAAAATTGTGATTTAATGGTGATTTAACCACTAGGAAAATGGTGATTTTTCATGGTTAACAATGGTGAATAATGGGATGATAATAGGATGATAATGTATTGATATACCCAACCTGGTTGTGACTGTTACATAGCCATGGTAGTTCCATGGCCCCAATCGAAATAGATGGTTTACCGTTCTTAAAAATGGTGGATCTTTCCATGGCTATGCTAAATAACCAGAGGGTATATTTATATGTATATATATATATATATCATTATACACATATACATGTATGTGGTATATCTATTATGATTATCTGTGATATATTATATATTATCTATTGTCCATTATCTATTATCTATCATATCCTTCTATATGTAAACATATGTATATTTTGACTATTATGGATTATTATCAATCTATAAATCTATTCAAATTATGTTTCATTATATTTATTATCTAGCACGCATACACATGTATATATATATATATATGTTGTAATATTATCTCTTGACTATTATCTGTTATATATATATATTATAGAATAGAGGTAAATTATTATTCTATCTTCTTGGGGGTTACTCTAGATAAACACACATATCCGGAAACCAAGGGCTTTCCATATCGAGTTTGCCAGCCAATTTGTGGGGACCAGGATGAACTGGGTGACTGGGAGCTAGAAACCATGGCTATGACTGTGGCGATTCTCCACTTACATCCAAGTACCACCTACAAACTGCATACACCGGGAGAAAGTATTTACCGACTACAAGTAGTGAACACTCTTCGTAGTTCAAGTTCCAGTTCTTTTAATCTTTTCCGTAGTTGAAGTTCCAGTTGTTTGTGGGCATGGAACGTTGCCACACACACACACACACACAATTCTCATGGCATTTTCCCATGGTTTTCACCGGCAACCAGCTCCACAACACGCCCACGCCCCTGCCCCTGGCTTCAAAAAACGCCCAGTTGCAGCCGGTGGTGGATAACCTGCGGCCGAGTCTGGCGAGGTTCCCCCCCATATCGAAGCGCCAGAAGAGAGTAACCAGTCCCCATAGGATCTATGGTGCTGGTATATATGCTAACATTGGGGGTATAGTGATGGCAAATGTTACCATATATGGCATACATGGATCCTATGGGATTGGTGTATCAACCAGTTGGAAAATAGCTACTGCTTGGTGGTTTCTAAAAAAAAATCCTTTTCAATAGCTACTGGTTGGTGGTTGAGCCACCCCTTTAAAACATATGAAAGTCAGTTGGAAAGGATGACATCCCATATATATGAAATGGAAAAAAAAATGTTCCAAACCACCAACCAGCGGTTTTATGGTGAATATGGTGAATTGAATTACAATAACAATGTTATTATTATAGAACATACGAAACACACAATTACTATACTATACGGATGAATTAGAATAAGATGTGAATAACTCCATAGAATTCACCAGATAACATACAATAACTGTAGGTGAATTCTATGGTTTATGGTATAGATATATCATGATCTCTAAAAATAATGAGGTTTTTATAACAAACTTTCAACTAGAGGGCATCACCTTTCAGTATCTAACATGGTCCAACGGTGGGCATGTCTAAAAAAAACAAAACACCCTTTCATTGTGGTAAACCATCGGAGATTTTTTAAACCCCAATTTCACCAGGGGTGGTGCAAAAGTCTCCCAAATCGGAAGTTTTATAAACCAAGCATTACACCATGCATTACTTGGATCCTTAGAATGTGTAAAATCGGTCTATTGGATAAACCAGGTTTTACATTGGATCCTTCGGGTCCCTATCGTAACTGCTTAGGAACAGTGGGGTGATAAGCCACCAAATGAGGACTTGCTAAGCAAGGTTTCGAGTTGGTTTTTCCGACCGATTCACTAGCAACGTTTTCGCCAAATTCTGTGCGTCAGCTCCGCTATGCATAAATCATAAATCATCCATTTATAGATTGTCTTTCCTGGTATTTTCCATGAGAAACAAACAATTCATTATTGATCAAAAAATGGGGTACCCCCAGTGGAACCCCCCCCACATAATCAATATAAATCATAAATCTGTTATAATTCCACACTATTCCATATGTTTATTGGTGAAATCTCCCATGTTATCCAAGCATTTTCCAGCCCACCCTGCCTGGCACGGGGGGCGGTGGTGGGTAATGCGCTGGGCCATAGGGATAGCTGGGCGGCGCCCTGAGATGCATGGATCCCATCAGCAGAAACGTGGACAAAAACGTGGAAAACCATGGGAACATTTACTGGGAATTTCATGGATTTTTCTGGGATTCTAATGGATTTTTCTGGGAGTTTCATGGAATTTACGATTAAGTGGAAGTTACTGGGATTTTAGTGGATTGTTGATGGATTTTTATAGGATTTCATGGGAACTTCGTCATCTTTGAAGATGTGAAGAGGAAAATCCGCTTGAAAGTCGAATTCCTCCATAGTCACAGGTCCAAAATCATGCAACGTGGGGCCCGCAAGAGTGAGCTAAGTTGGTGAACACAATAACTATGGCTTGTGGTATATATAGAGAGAGAGAGAGAGAGCATGCATATGTATATATGTATATATAATATGTATAGAAATTGTATAGATAAGATTAGACAATGAGGTTTTAATATGGGTTTATAAACCAACTAATATGACTGTGGGACATCATCATCATCATCATCATCGTTGCCATCGTCATCTTGGCTTGCCAAGATGGGGTCGGGATTAAGCCCCCCCATGCTTGCACGGCATTTGTTGATTGTATCCCCATAAACATACCATTAAATTATATGCCATATATTGAATGGTGCAATTGTTCAATATTAAGTTCCAATAATGGTCAATAATTGTGATTCCTTCTGGGTTAGTTAGTGTGTTACCGTAAGTGCATCCCAATTTAACACCATGATTTGTTCCCATTTGATTTATCATTAGTCCCGCTATTCCTCTTACAATCCTTATACTTCCTATTGTTGATACTTAAATATACTTCATATCTCATTATAATCCTCGACATTTAACAAAAATCAGTAACCATGATCATTTCCCATTATCATAATCCCGATATTGATGGGATTAAGACATTCCCATTTTGTTGATGGGATAAACCCCATCCCCCGCCATGCTTCACTTCGCGATGTTCCGCTGCCAGGTCACCCAGTGCCCAATGGCGGCGTGGCCGGCGCGGTGGCTGGCGCCCCGTAGGCCGCGGCCGCATACCTCGGAGTTCTGGGGGATCTGACCATCAAAAAGTGGGATTTTGCCATTGAAAAAGATGGGGATTTCACATGATTTAACCAGCAAAAATCTGGTTCACTCAGCAAACAGCTAGATTTCGACAGATTGTTTTAAATGATTACAGGGAACATGAGTTTCAGTGGTTGTTTCCTGGGAACTGTTCACGTATACAGATTCTAGGGACATTGGACATGACATGAGAAATACTGGGCGAAGCTTTCACCATCCTTCAACAATATTGAATATTGGGCAACATCCCTTCATTTCTTCCTGAATGTCATCAAACCCATAGGATCCATGGTGCTGGTATATATGCTAACATAAAGGGGGTATATTGATGGGATCCATGGAGCACCATATATAGCAGCACCATGGATCCGTCATGGGAAACAGAACATGATTTGACAAGCAACAAACATCACCACGGAATCTTGGGATCAAAAGCCCTTTATCAATCCACAGCAACACCTGGAATCATCCCTGCTTCGCTTGGCAAAAGGGCAAGATCTGTTCGGAGCACTTGGCAAGACATGTTTGAAGAATTTGAGGCAAGGCGCCATGTTTGGTTTGATAACTGCATCTCGCCTTCAGAGCTGCTCAGCAGTTCCATGTTTCAAAGCTCTGAGCAATTCTTGCGCTAGAACTGGACTTGGCGGTAGTATTACCCTCTGGTAAACTAACATAACTATGGAAAATCACAATTTTTCATGGGAAAATCCACTATAAATGGGCTATTTTCTATAGTTATGTTAAATTACCAGAGGGTATGGTCTTGCTGTCGTTCCGATCGAGACCCACTGCCTCTTTGAAGCTTCCGTGTACACAATGATCTCAATCGTTCTGGAGATCATCTTGCCATCGCAAAAGGCCATGTACTGTATATGGTCCATTGTTCGGCCACTCATCCAAACGTAATCCCATCCACCAGTCATATAAAAAACACCCGCATTCTATGGTTTGAAACAGGTGTAAATTCCCCTAAGCCTAAACTGGAGCGTCTGGGTGTCTTTTTATTTTTAGGGGAAGGGATTCTTCGATGTACTACTCGTAGCCCAGCTTAAAAAATGGTGAAACCATGGGCACTCAACTTCAATGGCACAGGGTTGCATTCTGACCCCCCAAATTGGGTGGTACCCCAAATGTCAAAATGGCATATGCATAATGTTGGATACTGATTAGTGTAGGGCCCCCCAACAATTTAGTCTACTCAATAGCTCGGGATTTTCTTGGGAACCAGTCCTGGGGGATTCAGGATGATCAACTTCAGTAAGGATTTCAATTGACATCAATCTACTTTCAATTGATTTTACTTTTAAACCTCAACGAAATCTATTGATACGAAAGGGTTTCAATTGAAATCAATTTACTTTCAATTCATTTGAATCTACTTTCAATTGATTTTCCTTTTAAACCTCAAAGAAATCTATTGATAAGAAATGATTTCAATTGAAACCAATTCACTTTCACTTCATTTGAATCTACTTTCAATTGATGTTCCTTTTAAACTTCAAACAAATAAGTTGATAAGAAAGGCTTTCAGTTGAAATCAATCTACGTTCAATTGCTTTTCCTTTTAAACTTCAAAACATATTATTATAAGAACGGATTTCAATTGAAATCAATTTGCTTTCAATTCATTTGAATCTACTTTCAATTGATTTTCCTTTTCAACCTTCAAAGAAATCTATTGATAAGAAAGGGTTCCAATTGAAATCAATTTACTTTCAATTCATTTGAATCTACTTTCAATTGATTTTACTCTTGAACCTCAAAGAAATCTATTAATAAGAAAGGATTTCAATTGAAACCAATTTACTTTCAATTCATTTGAATCTACTTTCAAGTGATTTTCCTTTTGAATCCAAAAAAAATGCCCCAAAAGTTTTTGTGCACAATAGGGTACCATCGAAACAATTACATTCTTGAGGATCTGGGTCACTCATGGGGTACCCCTTGAAAATTGTTTGGGTGCTATTTTTTAATAAGGGTTTAATAAAGCATCTAATTATTTGGGAAACCTTGCATTTTCAAGGCTTTAACATGCATATGGCTTTTTAAAGTACATGGACCAGCTTTACCCAAAGAAAGGTGTATAAAGGTGGATACAGCTCCTCCTGACAAAAAATGGATCTGAAAAAACTTGCCACAATAGAGGCCCACCCCCCATCCACAAGATACGACTAGAAATTGTCTCACAATAGAGTCCCAGGACACTAATCAGTATCCAACATTAGTTTTTTTTTTGTACGCGGAAAATGACGATCAAATATGAGATGCTGGGGTATTTTCACACAAAAGCATGCGGAAAATCCTGTTCAGAAACCAATTGGAACATAGTGGAAACTCATGGAAGCTCACTCTAAATAGTGTTTGGTTAACAAGGACACGGAGTTCATTAGCATAACAGCCAGCCAATAGAAACATAAATAAATAAATAAATACATATATATATATATATATCATCTATCAATTATATGCAAAAACATAATTAAATATATATATATATGTTATGCATCCCTATGTGTGATAGTTGAAGCTACTATGAATCATGGTAGTTTCACCCCATTTATAGCTTCTGGTCCTCTGAGAATCCCCCATTTACATCTTTAAAAAATGGATTTTCCTATCAACCGCTATTTTATAGAGGATTTTCCCATTAACATCCCTATATCTATGGATATTATGGATGATCTGGCAATAAACATATCATTTTTTTGCGTTGAAACTTATCATTTTCAACTGAAACTGTAGCAGCTGTAGCGTAAGTGGCGGATCTGTCGCCACTGCGGCCGCCGCCGCTGCTGCCGCTGCAGCGGCTGGATCACAGGGCCTGGGGCGTTTACACCTACCAATGTGGGTAAAACTATCATCAATGGATTGGTTTAAGGGAAAATTTACAGGAAAACCCCATATTTAATGGGAAAATCTATGGTTTCCTGTAGATTTTCCCTTAAACCAATCCATTGAAATAATCAACCATCCATTTGGGAATGGTTTATCCCACCTATCAAAATGGTGATGACTGGGGGATGTCAATGTTTTTTGTTTGTTTTACCCACATTAGTAGGTATTAAAGGGGTAAACCTAGAAATAAACACTAAAAACTAAACAGTTGGAACTAGCCAGTGTGACGAAGCACCAGTTCCTGGGATGATCCTCTAAGTAGATGCCGGGGAGCTGGATAAAGAGGGGATCATGGACGACATGGACCATGTTTCCTTGCTTGTGGCGATCATTTACCCTCTGGTTATGTCAAAATAGCTATTGAAAATGGCCATTTAGTTCGTGGATTTACCCATTAAAAATGGTGATTTTCCATAGCTATGTTAGTTTACCAGAGGGTACCTATAATTAATGGGTTGGATCATTTGCCTATAAAATGATGTTAAATTCAGCGACAAGAATGGTAATTTTGGGACTGGCAGCTTTGAAACTTAAAAACCAACAGGAATACTCTGATATGGCCGGTTTTTTCCATCATATTCCGTACTATTCCATACCATGGTGATTTTGCTTTAAGGGGGTTATCAACCAGCGTTAAGTTTACTTTAAACCTAGGGTTCAATCAACAACCATTTCTCTGCTGCACCTGGTGCCCCACAGCTATGTTTGTTGGTGAATGTCCAATCTAACGATGGGTACATCTGATACATCTTTGATAACACAAACACTTACCCTATTGAACTAAAGCATATTAGCTGATTGAGGGCACCACCAATCCCATCAACTCCCATATATGCAAATCCTATTACATCATTTCTCATCAAATCCTATGAAATCCTCCCATATTCCAATCATATGCCCATCACATTCCCATGATATTCCCATCATATGGAGGTTTCCTAAAATAGGGGTACCCCCAAATCATGAATTTTAATGATATTTTCCATCAAAAATCATCCATTTTGGGGTACAGTGAGATTACTGATTACTGTTTAAGAACCTACTGCAATAAGAACTTCAGGGGCTGGATTGCTGGATTCAACCCTTTCTGTCAGCTAATTGAAATAAGAACCCTAGGGTGCCCTTAAATTCTAGCCACTGGTTCTTATTCCCCTTTAACGTGTATCAATATACCAAACATTGGTTATTAGCAGCTATTTCCCCAAAGAAAAATTATGTACCGCGGAACTCCATGCCGAGACCAAAAATGGTGCGGCCCCAGGAAGAGTCGAAGCCTTACGTGATCACCAAGGCTGATACCGACAGCTTCAGCCAGACACCAGCCGGACTCACAACTTTCGGGGACCTGAAAGTTTTTTCTTCCCCCCGCCTTCTTCGCAACCTAATACCACGCCAAAATAAACTTTCAAGTCCTGGCTTGGTGGAATATCTGGCCTGTAGCCTATAGCTCTGTTTGGAATGCCTGCACCTGAAAAAACTTTTTGGGACCTAAAAAGTTTTTCTTCCCCCCGCATCCTTTGCAACCTAATACCACGCCAAAAAAAATGGCAAAACCCTCACCATATGAACCCCTTAAGAACTGACCCATTAAGAACTTGAGGGTACACTCGTTCATAATTCCCATATTTTCCACCTATAGCACTTAAGAGGTAGGCTGGAAAATTCTTAATCGGTTCTTATCTAACGGTTCCGCTGTACTCCCATTGTAGGAAATCTCCATCATTTTCCCATCATTGCTGCGGTTACTGGTTACCACTTTCGAGCCGAGTCACGCTGCGGCAGCGGCTGCCGCAGCAGCTGCCGCTGCGGAGCAAGCGCCATAGCCTTGGCCAACTATAAAAATGGTGATGACTGGGGGATGGTGCAAATGGCATTGTTTTACCCACATCAAGAAAAATAGGATGATCTGAAAATGGGATCATCCATTACAATGTGGGGCCCCGTTTACGATAGCTAAGTTTGTGAGCATAACTCCAATTAACTACAGTTCATTATACGCAAATAACTATAGTTAATGGGGGTTATAAACCAACTTACAACTGGCAACTGGCGGGGCCTCCTTTGTATGATTTATATTGATTTATAGGAACTATTTATAATATCCATGATAATGAAATAGACCATCAAGTAGCCTAGCAAAAACATACAGAGAGATTTGGACAACAACCCTGGTTTCCTGTTCGAACAATTATCTATATTCATGGTGTTTTTTCCTCATCTATGTACATAAACGATCATAAATGTTTACAGGAGGGTAGCTGGAAATGATCCCCATATCAATGGAGAAGCCAAACATGGGCGTTTCAATGCGCTTCAGCAGGAACATACCAAGTTCACATGGTTTTACCAACCAAAACTAATCCAAAACTAGGATTCAAACACCAAGCATTGGGGATTGAAGCAGAAAAAACATGCGGACTTCTATAACCAGAAAGGATCAGAAAGGTGAGGATTTAAGCCAACAGGAACAGGGAAAAAAGAAACCCTGGCGCATTTGACCATTTTTGACATAGGGATTTAGCCAGGAAAGCTGAAGAGTTAAACCCAGAATTATGAGGATCGAAACTCTGGTTATTTAGTCTGGAAATGAACAAACCAGTATTCAGTATTGCCCAGATGCTCCATGTATGGAATATTTACCTACATTTGGGCAATTTGTAGGGTAAATGTAGGTAAATATTCCATACATGGAGCATATGGGTTGATATATCATGATACATCCATTTGAAAATGACGCACATCCAAACAACAAGGGGATAGAAGTGGCCTCTATCCATGGATCGCATTGACAAGTGGGTGAAGACCCTTGCTATGTTCATCAGATTTATTATTCTTCCGACGGAACTAACTCTGGGAAATGCCTTGTTGTTTGCCACCCCATGTTGCTCTCATTTCTAGGTTCATCCCCGTCTTGTTCGAACCCCCTTGGTTCATAGATGACAACCCGTTATTTTGCATGATCATATTCCCTTTTGCGGTTGATATTCTTTTCACAGTATATTCGGGCAAATATCACAATGCATGCACCAAATCCTGACCTGTATCAACAGAATCCTAAATTAAAATATCATCCCCAGATTAACATTGACCCGACTACAGATAGGGAATTGGACAACTAGATTCCTCTTTGAATCCTCACTTATAGGGTCTAGTTCATATTTTATAATATTTTTATATATGCTTATTTGGGAGATGGCAACTTCCTCTACCAACATTCAATTCTTTCTACTATGTGAGGCCCCCCAGTTATAGGTTGGTTTATAAGCCCCAGTAACTATAGTTATTTGCGTACCATAAACCATAGTTATTGGAGTTATGTTCACCAACTTAGCTATCGTAAACGGGGGCCTCACATTGTACCATCCATCATTTCTGGGACATTTCAGATATGGATGTTCTCAGTTAGATCTTTTTCACAGTATCCAACATCGGGAACATCATCCCGAATCTGGTCAAAACCCTGACCCTGGTTTTTCGCTGGTGTAGCTGGGATGTTCATCCCCCCAACATATGGTACTAATACGGTACTTAATAGGTTTTGACCCATCTCATCATCTCCATGTTATGTCATGAACCCGGATATAACCTGGCTAGTAATTGGGCTTCTTATCCGGTTCCACCCAAAACAGTGATGGAATACGGACGATTTAAATTGGTACCCCACCTCTATATATATAGATATAGATATATTTATTTATTTATTTATAACAACAACAAATGAGGGTTTACTAATCCTGAGTGAGCATTATCGCAAGAACTCCACCTTTGGTTTATAGTTTATAGTTTTATATCTCCAATATAACTATGTGGTAGATATAACTTGTATATTTCATGTTTTTTTTCTAAACTAACATACATAACTGGGGGGCCTGCCGTGTAAACAACTGCACCTTTGTTCAACCATCACCGTCCCCAGGCCGCCCAGCTCATGCCAGCGTAGTATGCATCCAACTGCGCTGGTGACAGGGCCTAAGATGGCGAAGATGGCGTCGTTGTCCTCCAAAGATAGGGCAATCTGGGGATTTTCTCCGAATTTCCCATGGGTTTTTGAACATCGGCCAACAACAATTGCGCAATTTGTCACAGACTGTTCATCAGTAGTTGTTATATTCCCATCTTATCGCATATCCCCATGATATCTCCGTTCGCTGTGGTCCATTGCCAACAACTTGCGCCATGAAGCACCGAGCTCCCGCACTGAGGGGGGCGGCAGGGCAGCCGGATCCGCCAGCGGGTACAAAGGCTCTTCTACTGGGGGCAGCCTCAGTGATCGCTTGGAAGACTCGGGGATGGCTTTAGGTTACCACAAGGTGGTGTCGCATAGCTAGCCAACCTTGTTCTTTTGAGGGCTAGGGTCTATGGTAGATATATTGAACTAGTTGAATGGGTGGATAAAGCAACTTATAACTAAGGGGCACCAATTTGCACATACTTGGGGATGTGTTCCCATTAGTAAGTGCTGATCGAAACCAATATACTTTATAATAAATGATAATGCACATGTAAATATAAATATACATATTATGTATACGTAGATACGTACATATGTATATAATATACAGTATATAATACTAACTTATACCCTATGGTAATAACGGTAATTTTAGATCGCCATTGAACATCAATTTCAATTGATCAACTACTTTAGCCTTGAGATAGCAAGGCTATTTAGTAGGTAAATCGGTAAATCACCATCATTTTCAATAAATACAGCACATTTCAATGCTAAAATTTACATGATGATGTTTTTCCTGAAAACAACACCATCATCATGTAAAGTCATGCTTTTAATATTCCTAAATAATCCTAAATATGTAAAATTATGATGATTTGATCAAAACAAAACAATCATGTTTCATTCACACGCTGCAAGTCTCGGGATGACTGTACGGACATGCATGACTGTTACATCGGACATGCGGAGCCAAAACAAAACAGTCCTAAAAAAAATGTTTTCTGGTTGGTGGTTTCAATCCCTCTGAAACATATGAAAGTCAATGGGAAGGATGACATCCCATATATGAAATGGAAAAAATAAAAGCCATGTTCCAAACCACCAATCAGCAGTAGTTCCATATACAACTGAATTATACTGATATAACCGCTATATTATGGAAAAATAAAATTCATGTTCCAAACCACCAACCAGAGTTTTTCTTTTTTCGAAGTCAACTCTGAGTCTCCCCACCCTCGTGGAGGCATCGGTGGTGCCCCTGCAGGCCCTAAGCCCGTGACCTGCGACACAACCGTCAGCGCCACGTGGCAAGTTGGGGAAAAACGTGGTTTTAATGTGGGAAAACATGGGACGCATCCCATGAATCTGATCATGGGATATTTAATGAATTTTAATGATATAAAAAACTAATTGAATGGACATAAAACTTATAATTCCATTACATATACAACATAAACACTTGCAATTGGATTATTTCATGGGATTTCTTATGGGAATATGACCACAATAGATGGTTTTTTTCATGGAAAGTGGGATTTTTCATGGTAACTGGGATGTTTTATCAAGAAGAATTCTTAAATCTCATAAAATGGGGCTATCATCAGCAAACTATTGCGATCTGAGTTGGATATGTGTAATGAGTTTAATAGCTGCAAAAGTTGGAATACTGTGATCTAATAGACATATATTTAATGGGATTTAATGGAGATGTGAGGGGAATCATCAGCCAATCTATGAGATATGCTTGGCATGTACTATTCACATATTAATTGGGGATTCACAAATCCCCCAAAGCAACGAACGCCCTGCCACGAGTTGGGAGGGGAACCAACTGCAGTTTTTCAGCTTCTCGTAGTGGCTAACGTTCACTTCAAAAAGCCTTGAAGGCACTTCTGGAACTTCTCTTGATGTTTTTCTTTGTCGCGGCAATGAGTCGACAAACTCCCTATATTTGGTGTCACTGAAATCATCTGAAATCCCCCCGCCGGTTCCATTTCTGGTTGGTGGTTGACCTATATACACCTCTGAAAAATGATGGAGTGAAAGTCAGATTGGAGAAAATCATCCCAACGAAAATGGGGAAAATAAAAAAATCATGTTCCAGTCACCACCAATCAGCTATAGCTTTTGATACACTTCACTGACTTCACTTGGCCAATCTAATCTATGCCAATCACATCCCCCAAAACTCCCCAAAAACACATCCCGAATGGTGAACTTCCGAGCGAAACCGCACCTGAGAATGACCCCAAGTCGCCTGAAACCGTTTGGTTTCGCGAAACCCCGAAAGGGGACGGCATGTAAGTCACAACGGCCGAGGATGAACTACCCTCATTGATTGGGGATTACCCTCTGGCTATTTAACATAGCTATGGAAAATGGTCCATTAATAGAGGGTTTATGATGATTTACCTATCCAAAATGGTGATTTTCCATAGCTACGTTAAATAACCAGATAGTATATTGGATCTTGATAACCCATAGGATTGGGAAACCTATAACTCGTATGCTGGGATGGGATAGGGCTATTTTTCCCTAGGTCAAATGTTGACAGCAAGACTGAAACGGGCAATTGGTTCAAGGGTTTTACCCCCTCGAAAAGCAGGACAGTCAATTGGGGTTCACCGTTATTCTTGTTAGGGATGGAAAAGAACTACGGTCATGATGAAACCACCAACAGGTAGGCTTACTTCCCTTAACAGTGGCCAAACCAATGGGGCTGCTTTATTCTTCTGACACTTCTTTGCATCTGTATCCATCAATATGAGCATACTGACACCAAATCATTATATACCATCTGGTTATTTAACATAGCCATGGAAAGATCCACCATTTTTAAGAACGGTAACCCATCCAAATTTCTATGGGCCATCTCTACCATGGCGAACTGTTAGTCATAACCAGAGAGTATGGTACCAAATCCACAAGATTCTTCATGATTCGGAAGGCATCTGCTCTCACCTCCTCTTCCTCCTTCGGGGCCCCGGACCGGCACAGCCTCCACGCTGGGGGGCCCGATGATGCCAGGCCGTGGCCTGGGCCATTGGGCCAAGGATCGCCCAGGATCATCCATCAGAGAGGTGTGGCGAAGTTGATCCTCAAATATCAAAGACCTACATCTGGTTGATTCATAACCCCCATCACTTATATCTTATATCATAAGCACTTGTATATATTTTATATCACTTATAAATAGAATCATAACTTATCTGGTTGGTGGTTGAGCCACCCAACCAGAAAAATATGTATGAAAGTCAGTTGGGGATGATTATTTCCAAGATATGGAACGTCATAAAATTCATGTTCCAAACCACCAACCAGACATGGGTACCATCTGGTTATCTAACATAGCGAACTGGCAAAGCCATTTGGAAAAGGAGGTTGATGGCTGGAAAATCATCTGTCAATGGGCCATTTTCAATACAATGTGAGGCCCCCCAGTTATAAGTTGGTTTATAAGCCCCAGTAACTATAGTTATAAGTACCATAAACCATAGTTATTGGAGATATAAACCAACTTAGCTATCTTGGGGGCCTCACATTGTAGCTATGTTGAATAACCAGAGGGTAAATGTCCTACATCCACCATGGTCTCTGAAGGGGTGTTGAGTTTCTGAATGGGGAAGGGATTATTTACATCCCTTCACCCCAGGCGACACTGGGATTCGCTTTTTTGGGACCCAAACAAAGTTAAAACATATTCAATATACATACTTTCAGGAAGTCTATAGTCTATTCATGATTTTGAATTGGGAACCTAACAAATCATCTTCAGCGCATCTAAGTAAACTAACGTAGATGTGGCAAACCCATGATTTCATACCCTATGCGTCCAGTTGCCCGTACCGGGAACGGGCTCAAAAACCAACCATAGTGGTAACGAATCACAGGGGCCACAGGGATATATGGTTTAAGGCTACAGTGTGTATGCTATCTATAGTCCTCTTGATATCCATATTGATGCCCATTATATTAACCACCAGTTTAAATTTTGGCTTGTTTCCACTCGTTCAACTAGGGATTATATCTACCCTCTGGTTATGACTAACATAGCCATGGAAAGATCAACCATTCTTAAGAACGGTAAACCATCTATTTCTATGGGCCATCTATACCATGGCGAACTGTTAGTCATAACAGTCATAACCAGAGAAAACCATAAATCACCGTTAAGCCACCTGTAATCAACTTCACTAAGTAGGGCGGGCATCCACAAGAGAAGTCATGATTTCTTACCCCCGTCATCAGATGCCAGTTGGATGTGATGAGATAGAGAATGGACATGAATTACAGGCGGGGGGGAAAGGACGAAAGGACGATATAATTACAGTATCAATATATTAATGTAATATATATATATATATATCAGTAATTATGACAGTAATAATATTATATGACAGTCCAATACAAGATAATACAAATGTCATTCAGTCATTCATCAACCTCAGTTAATGTCAATTACAGTAGCAATGACAATCAATGACACCAGTGAGGTTCAGCTGAGTGTTAGGGCCTCTGCGGAAAGTTATCCCGCTGGCAGCCATGAAAGTGTGGCTTTTCTGGGTTGAATATGTCTTAATTAAAGCATATTAAAACCCAAATGGCCCAAAAGGACTCTAAGCCCAAAGAAAGAAATAGACTTACCCTCTGGTGATTTAACGGTTCGCCATGGTATAGATGGCCCATAGAAATAGATGATTTTCGCAGCTATAGACCTCCATTTATCAGGGATTGTCCATATGTTAAAAGACCAGATGGAAAATATATATGGAAAATCCCTGATATCAATATCGAAAATGGAACATATTTTATGGATGGAAAATAGACATCAATAGACATCAATAGATCTGCTGAACGTCATCCGGTCACATTCGCCCACCAAAACCTCATGGCATGTCATGGCATGTCATGGCATGTCATGGCATGTCATGGCATGTCATGGCATGTCATGGCTCCCAGTCCGCCTTCCAAAGAAGTCGCCGTCGTCTACTGGCAGGTGCGACAAATCACCCTGTGGCAGGTGCGACAAACCTCTGGAACTGTTGGGAACCCCAGACCTACCTGGACAGAACACCCCTACCCTCCGGTAAACATACAAAAAACCATGGAAAGATCCACCATTTTCTATGGGTAAATCCACTACAAATGGCCATGTTCAATGGCTATGATAGTTTACCAGAGGGTAGGTGAGCTAGATGGATGTACTCCCCAAAAAACAAATGCTTATGGGAACCACTATTCCTGGGGGAGTTCCATCTCTCAAAAGGAACAAGAAACTTGACACAGAAAGTTTCTGAAATATGATTCTGTCGCGGATTTCCTCTGGTTTGTTTTGAACCTGTATGTCTTCTGGTATCAGCAAGGAGCAGCAAAATATGCCACATATCTGCTTAAAAACTTGCTGAATGGATCACTACTATTTAAAATTATTTAAAGATCACCCACATAAACTCGACTTTAACCTGACAGTTGATTAGACTACCCTCTGGTTATTTAACATAGCCATGGAAAATCCCCTGCCTAAATGGAGGTTTCTAGCTGGGAAAATCATCTATAAACCATCCATGTTACACTTGCGGCACGCCATGTCACGCCCACTGATCATCCATGATCATCCTGGACTGACAAGAAACACAACCACTACTGAAAGCACCAAAAAGGTGGTAAGTGCAACATTGAAATGGTTTCTAAAATGGTTGAAAAAATGCTGGTGTTATTCAAACTATAAACAAATGTTTGTGGTCAGTTTTGAAATGATGAAAGCACGTCTTTAAACTTTCATTGTAAACTATATCGAACATAAATGTCAGCTAATTAATTCTGTTTGTAATAAAACATATCGAACATTCATGGTCGATATAGTTTACGTAGCTGATAGGGCTGATAAACCATCATAAACCATTCAACCCAACATAAACCATTCATAAATCCACTGCACCACCTTGGAATTTCAACTCATCAACCAGAGAGTCAGTCACTGCCAGTCACTGCAATCTCCATCTCGCCTTCATATCATCCGAGTCATCGTCCTCACTATCCGAGTCCTAGCAGGTCTCAGGGACAGCCCAGCTCGGCAGCTCGGCACTTGGAATCAGTGTACCACTGGCCAATCTTGGATAAACTGCGATAGACATATAAATGATTATAAATGTTTATCAATAATATATGGAAATATACCATAATATATGATTAATACTATTATAGAAATATATATATATATGGTATATTTTTATATACATTGATATAATTTGATATACAACAAATATAAACTCGACAACACCAAATAAAGTATATACATTGAAAATCATTGATATACATATATTATATGGTCCCGCGTCTTGTGATCGTGCCCCCAAACCCATGTGGTATGGAAGGGTAGGGGCTGCAGCGCCCTTTCTTCTTCCTCTTCGGAAGCTCAAGTCCAGTTCATCCGAGATCTGCTGGCAAGGCATTGGGAAGGATCTTGACCATGCTTTCATGTTGAATTGATGTCTTGCCGGTGCCAACGTCTGACAAGTGAACGATCCCTGCACTCACCTTCTGCACAATAAACTGTGATACGTTGCCATCGTTGCACAGGAACTTGCCATTGCCCACCGTGGAAGCATATTGGCTCGACTTGACAGCACGCGATCTCCACTGACCACCGGCACCGTGGTCGCAGCACTCCTCTGTGCTTCGGCTCGCACTCTGATATATATAATATATATATATATATTTAGATATATGTATATATTTAGATATATTTAGATATATTTTTGATATTCACTACCCATCCAAGGTTCCCCTAGTATATAACAAATATAAGAGATATGATAAGTTGTCCGACTCAGAAATGGGATAAAACCAAGATATATTTCATGGCGACAATGTCCAGCATTTCAAAACATGTCAACCACAAGAAGTGGTAATCAAAGTGGATCAGGATACTATTGTTTTGGTTGATTATGTTACTGTAGTTTAGTGGATTGTTGGGTAACTAAGCTATACTGTTGGTTATTCTCAGTCAATTAGATTTCACCATACTAAAGTAAGAGAATTCTCCAAGTATCCAATGGTCTCAGGTTGGGCACCCAAGGACACCTCGCTAGCCATGACTAGCTGAGTGAAGCTGGGAGAATCATCGGCAGCCAGATCATCCAGCAGCATGTTGAGTCGTGTATTCTCATGTGAGAATTAGCCTCTGGTAACACTTTGCGAACTGGAAAATCCATGAAAATCACGTTTTTTGAATAGGTAAATCACCGATCTAGATGGATCTAGATGGTCCATTTTCCAGTTCGCGAACTGTTTGTTTACCAGGCCGGGTATATGCACCTACCCCACTTCATTTTGCAAATGGGATGGGTCACATCTTTGGAAAGCACATGGGGGTGGGTCAAGTTACCTATGAAATTACCATATGACTGGGGTATACTGGGGTAATAAACATCCAGCTGTACCAGCTATTTCAAGGTTTGGGTACCAGGCGTTTGACACATAACCGTATTCCATCAAGTATTGCATATTGCAGCTTGCCCCAAGCATCCAGAGAAGCTGTCTGTGCAGAGTAGCAGTGGCATTTCATCCATCCACGATAATTCTATCCACAGAATCCATAAGGCGATCAAAACTCCACCCTGGTTTTCACACCATAAGCATCCATAAACCATAGCTGTTTTTTTACCATTTTTTTACCGATGTTCATCCCCACAGATATGGTATTTCATAGGGTTATTGCCTGCAGTGAATAACATAGGGAAAATGGCCCACATGTAGATGATTTACCCGTTAAAAAAATAGCAACTGTGGATGGAAGAAATCCTACACCACCTTGGATGGTTGAAACCCTATAAATAATGGGATAAATCATCTATCAACTGGTTCAGGATTTCTTCCATCGACAGTAGGACTATAGATATATAAATGATTTACCTACATCAATGAGTTTACTGGAGGGTGACCCATCTGAGGTTGACCTACATACAATGTTTGCATCTCGTATCATCTCGCCATGCTGTTCCCAAGAACAGCGCAATGACATGTTGGGAAAAATGCGGGAGCCGGGTGGGCATAATATATATATATATCTATCCATGATTATCCATGTATATCCATTTGTCATCAGTTACCAAGAATGGTTGTGCAAAATGGGCTGCGAACCTTCCTTTTCAAATGAACCAGTAGGAAAAGGACATCTATCTTGGCAGACTCAGAATCATTCACGACAATTCAACAATTAAGGGAATGCTTTCCCTCATCGAATGGGTGGCCCCCCTCAGTCATGTTTGCTGAATTAAAAAGCCCATTAACATAGCGTGGTTAAAACATTATAACAAAACTTAGCTATCATAGCTATAGTCCCACCTTCTACAAACGATCAACAGTTGTTTTTTTTGACTCGCGTCCTTGTTCTTGGACAAAGCGCCCTTCTTCTTCTTTTTTCGTTTCCTCTTCTCATGCTCGAAGTGACAAAACCTAAGCGCGCTGGCTGGTCAGATTCGTATATCAACTTCCCGAGGCACGCTGGGGAGAATGTCACGTGCATTCACTCGAAATCTGACCCAGATCCTGAACGTGTGTCCTGTCCATCATGTCATTTTTTTCTGGATCACTTAAAAGATGCTTTTCAGCAAACAGGTTTTTTTGTTCATAACTTAGGCAGTCAGTGTATTTAAGATTATTTAAGCAGTTTTTGCATAAGATTGAAGGGTCAAAATGAGGAACCTTTTTGCAGTCCAGCATTGAAAAACAACGGGCGTTTGATGGTTTTTTGGGGTCCCCACTCGCAGTTGCGGCCGTTGTTGCACCGCCCTGCCGCAGCCGGCGCCGTTGGAATGTGACGACTCCATGGGGTGCTGATGCGTGCTGGAGAAACACATAACCTGCCAAGAAAATACGAAACACGTTGGCAACAAGCGTACCACAAGAACACACCAGCCTACCTATTTTCGTTGGTCTGAAGGTGTACCTAAATCCATCTCATCCTCATTTTCGCCGCTTGGAAATTGGCCCAAGAAACCCAGGTCCGAAGCCAGCCGCCTTTTGGGAAAAAGCAGCAGCGCTTGCAAAGGCCTTCGAAATGTTGCGCCGAGCCCACCTCGATTTCGTCGAAAAAAACGATCCGATGAGGCTATGAGGTAATCCAACAACAGGGGTGTTTTGAAAAGGTGAAAAATCACGGAGATGAACAAAAGGATAGATTGATATAGATTGATATAGTAAAATGAAATATCACTTATATATGAAAGGATAGATTGATATAGTAAAATTAAATATAACTATAGTAATATGATATTGTAATTTTGTGATAATGTATATGAAATATGATTGATTGGTAAGAATCTACTACAAAATAGTACCATGTAATAGATTGTAACCATTTGTTGTTTTGTCCTCAAAAAAAAAGTGGTATGTTGCTTTCATGAATGATTTCACCTCTAAGAGATCCAGCAATTTTGGTCACCTGGACCAGAACTTCTGGGCCCGTTCAGCCTGAAAGGTGGCTCGGCCTGGGGCTTTAACTTTATTAACCTCTGGTAAACTGTCACATAACTATTGAAAATCACCATTTTTAATGGGAAAATCCACTATTTCTATGGCCATTTTCAATAGCTATGTTAAATTACCAGAGGGTAACTTTATTAACCTCTTTATCTATCATGCGAATCGCAAAGTGAGCCCCAGTTGTAAGCTGGTTTTTACTCTCGATTATAGACTAATTGGTGGTTTCAACCAACCCCCCTGAAAAATATGAGTCAGATTGGATCATCATCCCAACTATTGTGGAAAATCATCCAACTGTTTGAAACCACTAAGCGGTAGATCTATCCCCTACAATCCAGTGAAAACCTGTCGGCAGTTCTGTGCGTCAACCTGTCGCGATTCACGGGGACCTCACCGACTTCTCAATGGTAGCGCCGGGAAAACCCGAGGAACGCAAAGTGAGGAAAATGCTATTTGTAATTGATACAGTTTGTGTTTTTGGGTTGATTTCTCTCGGTAGATGTGCCTATTCAATCATATTATGCCGCACTATAAGTTCTATATTCTTGTTGGTAGCTGGTCATTCTATCAAGAGTATGCTAGGTATTGTCCAAATAAGTCAATTTCTACTGTAATTAAGCATGGGAGATGATAATCAAATCTGTTTGGAAGCTAAGATAAGGTAGTGGCAAAAATCCCCTCGACTCTCAAGACAACAATTCTACAAAACGGCTATGGGTGCGGTGAACATCAAAATAGCCGGTGCTGATGGATGTTCAGCCTGATTTTGACTTTTATAGATAGTAATAGTACATAAAGAAATGGATCACAGTTGGATACTTACTGTAAGACAATCATAATAACACTCAAATAGCGATGACCATGCTGATAACAATATAAGCATCAACATTATTACAACCATGGTTAGTAATAGCAACAACATGTTCATCACACTTTTTTTCGACATGTCACCAAGTGGAATTTTATGTCACAATTAGTCATCGTCAGTCACAACTAATAGTTCTCATACTAACAAAGTTGCAGCCCCAGTTACAAGCTGGTTGGTGTTCACTCATCCAACTGGTTGGGACTTTTGTGTTTCCAAGGTTTTAGGGTTACCAACAGAAACCTGCCATTTGGGGCCCCAAATGAAAATATATTCACTAGTAATTTGTTAGCTGCCTATTGTTGTTGGAAACTATCATCAATTTGGCTGATTAAAACCCCTATTAGCCATCGTTTTATCATTAATAGGGCCAGTAACTGCACCAGATTCTAATCCAATTTGCTAATCTGTGGGAATGCAAACAATCTGGATAAATCATAGGAATTCACAAAGCTGACATAAGGTCATTTTTGGACAATTTCCATGACTAGCCATGTATGGTCATGTCCCCTGTGATTTTGTTATCATGTATCCAGAGAAAGGATAATGCATATAATTATGTATGTATATATATATATATAGTGTATATTTCATCAGATGTTTCAAACACATTACATGTTCCATCAACTAGAAAAAATATGTATTTTATATCATGTGATCTACTGGCTGGTGGCTTTAACCCATCACCAGCAAGTATGCTCGTCACCCCAACCAGATCATCTTCGGGGATCTACCGTGATATCCCGAAAACATCCCCATGAAATAAACTAATTTTAGATACTTGAATCCCCACAATATCTGGTATGTACCCATTTATGTATACGTATATATATATATATATACACACACGTATATCTCTTTCTTCATCTCGGGGGATCTATTCAAAGGAGTATGAGTTTCTGTGGCTAAATCATGTTATTTAATGTTGTTTTCCTTTGTTAACGGTGTATGAAACACTAGAGGAATGGGGTTAACAAGAAGGAATGTTCTTTTTTTTTTTCTATTGAACACATAGTTGTTTCTGTGCTGTGGGATGTGGGACGGGTTTGTTGAGTAGAAGGGTACTCTGCCTTCTTCTAAAAGTAGTAATTATTGCAAATCAAAAATCAGCCCAACAGAAACAATAAACTAATACAATCTAATACATGCTTGTTGTTTTTGTTTTTTTATTTATGTGGTTTTCTTATTTTAATTTAACATATCACCAGTATATTATTTTTTTGGCTACCTCACTGCATGTTGCTGCTTCTTCGTGCTGAACTGCCTCTCACATGTGCAAAGCTGAATAGCATCCCTTAGAAAAGGGTCGGGGGGCGTTTGAATGAATATATATATATATGATATATTCGTTTATATTCTATCTTAGATACGATAAATGGTGGATTAACCAATGTGAAGACAACAAAATATTATCAAATAAGTCTTTGTATATACATGGGATTAAAAGCTTCATTGTGTGATACTACGTTTTGTTTTTATTACAAATCAATGTTTACCTAATGTTGGGATCCATTTGTGATACTAATTATTATCAAAATATCTTTACAACCCCAACTCCCTGGGAGCTCCCTGCCGAAGGCAGATCTGCTGGGAGGTCCCTGGAGCGAGCCAGGTGGACTGAGGAAGACATGTTGATCTTTTGACAAATTCTTGTTTTAAGGGATGTGAGGTGGTTTTCCTGGTTTTCCTTCTCAATATTTTGTTGTAAGATGTTGTAAGATATTTGAAAATCTGTTGAGAAGGAACATATGATGAAATTCCACAAAAAAAAAGAGGGACTTTCCGAGGGAAGGAGCGACTCCAATCATCCAGGAGCATCTGCTCTGATCTGATGGATAATTGACAATAGATACATTACATCAATTAAATTCTATGGCTAATTGACAATTGAATTGAAAAACATACGACTAAACCACCATCAAGCAGAGATTCACCATCAAACTTGCCCCTTTCAACAAAAAATGACCACGAAGACAACAAAAATCGTTTAAAAAAACCGCCTTCACCAAGAGTCGCCAAGATTCATACTTCTATGTTTTTTGACCGAACAAAATCCAGCCATCTGTGGCTCCTTAAGCAGGGGTTGGTAATTAAATAGAGTACGTTGTAACCACAACTTAACACTGATCTCCAACCACGACAAAACGCTTTCAACTTGCCCAGACTTTCATGAATGACGACCAAAAAAAGGGCAAGAGCAGTGGCAAAAGGCTGCGCTTGGTTTCAATCGCATTCAAGTGTGCAGGAATCTGAGTATATGATATATATATATACACATATATAATATCATTATATATATATAAATATAATCTTTTATAAAGTACACAATAGTCATACCTACTCTACGATTCGTGCTACACGAATCGTATATCTTGTCGTGGAAAAAAAAACGTTCCCTTTTTTTGTGTGGGGGATCTTCCATCGAAAAACACAACCAGGTCGGTGATGTTCATGGTACCCTCTGGTCCTCTGGTTGTGTCAAAATAGCTATTGAAAATGACCATTTATAGTGGATTTACCCATTGAAAATGGTGATTTTCCATAGTTATGTTAGTTTACTGGAGGGTAACATGATGGTGAAATCCCCATGGTTAAAGCAATGAAAAAAAAAAGTAATAAACCACCCAGGAGAAACTGGGAATGGTAAGTTTTTTTTATACCACCAAACAAAATTTATGGTGATGACTTCCTGGGGGATGGTCCGTTTATGATTGTTTTACCCACATGATACCCTCTGGTAATTTGACATAGCTATTGTAAATGGCCATAAAAATAGTGGATTTACCCATTAAAAATAGTGATTTTCCATAGCTATGTTAGTTTACCAGAGGGTATCCACAATCTTTCTCCCATTTTATGGGACATTCGCCGTGAAAAATATCCCGCCTGGGTGCTTCTTGCACCACAAGCTCTGGGCTTAACACCTGCGCCTTTGGCGGAGGAGTCTGGGGAGATAAGCAGCACATATTTTCTGGGGGTATAATGGGTTAAAACGGGAGATACTTGGCACTTGGATAGCTATATATGTATATATCACTATAATTCTATGATTAGATAATATAAATAATTTGCATATACAATCATATACATATACACACATATATAATTACATATACATATACATGTACATATACATGTACATATACAATATGATGATTGTGTTTGTCCGAACACGGGGAATAAACTCACGGGCTACAAAATAATATTAGGATGGGCAATTTAAGCCCGAGGATTTAGGGGTCCCCTATATTATATGTTCAAACAACAAACATACCCAGAAAGGGGAGGGGGGATTGTTTATAGCAACTCCCAAGAAGATGGAACAGTGTTGTAGATTGGTATAGATGATGTCTTCCTCCTAAAAATAGATAGAACAGTGTTGGTAAAGATTCTAGATGTCTGATGTCCAGTATACAACTGTTCGGCGTCTTTGGCTTGCTATAACCAAACATGATCGAGACTGATAAAGACAGAAATCTAAGCCACAGGCCTCTTTTTTGAACGTTAAATCAGTATATGTTGAAAGCGCCAACGAATTGTTTAGCTGTTTTTTTGGGCAAATTATGTATATTATATGATTATATATATAATATAGGTTACACACCATGATGAGATTGTCTGAAAAAAGGGTAAGTAATGTACCAAATCTATTTTTGTTCTATAACATCCTCATCAAAATGCGGGTTTGGGGCATACCCCATTTTGAGGCACACCATGGCACACCCAAATCATATCAAGTTGGTGATATACCTCACTATAACTATATCCCATTGAATCCCATAGTTAATAATCCCATTCCCTATTACCCTATAGTTATTTAACATAGCCGTGGAAAATGGCCCATTTATAGATGGTTTACCTATTAAAAACGGTGATTTTCCATGGCTATGTTAAATAACCAGATGGTAAATCCATCTTTTTTTGGTCGCACCAGCCGCACCAGCCCTGCATTTATCAAACAAGCGACTGGAAGCTCGACCTTTTCGGGCTCCTCTCGAGGGTGGATCATTGATGGAAAACCCTCATAACTTCCGTGGGAAAACGATGTTTCTTCTATATCCCATAGGATCCATGTATGGTATATATGCTAAACATTGGGGGTATATTGATGGTAAATGTTACCATATATGGCATACATGGATCCTATGGATATGGTATTCTAAACATGTTCTTCCAAACGAATCCAGTGGTCAATGTGGACGAACACAAGAAATATGTAGAAATACAACACATACACACACATATATATATATATATATACACCTCTGATCCACTGGCATTCAAACATGGCTTCTTGGTCTCCCATTGAACACATCTATCAATAGGAGATTCCACATTGCCATGTTCGACTCTCAAGGAATATCAAGCATGGTTGAGGATCCGAAAGTGGTTTTGAAGATGGTCTGGATATTAGACAGTACTCGGGTGATATGTTCAACTTGGAGAGAGGAACATGGCCATCTGCACCCTAGTTATAAGTTGATTTACCATCTGGTTATTTAGCAGTTCGCCATGGAAAGATCCACCATTTTTAAGAACGGTAAACCATCTATTTCTATGGGCCATCTATACCATGGCGAACTGTAACAAATAACCAGGTTGGGTATAAACCCATTCAGCAGAGCCTAGTTATGGGTCTCACCTTTTGGCGTTCATGGTGTTCTCTGATCTTCTAAAGTGTATGGTGGAAGACTGGAAGACTACACTGATGCTGGTGACAAATGATTTGGAAATAAGGATACCCGGCCTGGTAAACTAACATACTGTAGCTATTGAAAATGGCCATAGAAAGTTCGTGAGTTTACCCATTAAAAATGGTGGATCTTTCCATGGTTATGTGACAGTTTACCAGGCCGGGTACCATTTTCACATCACCGTGACTATGGAAAGATCCACCATGCTATTAATGGTTAAATCCACTATTTCTATGGCCAGCTATTCAATTACCAGGCCGGGTACCCTCCTGTGAGAAGAAACCTGAGTCTTTTGATCGGGGATTTCCCGGCGGAACGGCAGCCACGAATCTGATGAAACCAATTTTACGGTGCAAAAGAATTGACCAAGCCCGATTGGCTAGTCTGTTTTTATGATCATTCCAAAAGTGAAACAATTATTTTTTAAAAAAAAGTATCATAAATATCATTTTTAGGTATGAATTTCATAAATTACAATTCCTATTGGTAAGTGTCCAATCATAAATATCCATAAATTCGTTCAAAAGACTCCCGTATACCCATTATGAACAATGAGGTCGGCCGACGAACATGACCACGATCCCAGTGTGGCAGAATCTCCAGCTGAAACCCAATTGATCCGATTCATTCCCCATAAGCTAACGTGAATTCCGTAGTAAATCACTTTGATATGAATATGAATCCTCATTTCCCATTTATATATATATATATGTTATATATATATATATATATATATCCATCCCCATTTTTTTTGGGAGCTGTGTCAGAGACTTCGCATCCAGAAGTTCCGGCCTTGGAATCGGCGGCCTGCACGATACTTTGCAAGGATGGTCCTGCCAAGGTGGTGCCGTGTCAGTGATGTTTGTTGCTTCGATATATTGGAGTTCAGCAACTTAGCTAAGTATGGGTCTCCACCTTGAGATAATAATTAATAATCATAACATATTTAGTAGTAACAATGATATCACTATACTACTGTATATTATAATATATATATATATACACACTAAGTAATATGGAAGAACATTCTGAACTGGAGATGCATTTTTTTCACATGGCCAATCTAAGAGACACCGAAGTCATGTTCTGTCATGTTCTATCCACTTCGTTGTCTCCAACCCTGGGCCCTGGGTGAACACCAGGGGATAGCTGAATTGTACCTTTAAAGTTGAACCAAACATCAAAATTCAATGTGAATGTTTTGGTTGGTATGTGACTTTTGTCCCAATTCTGGGGTTACTATGGGTTGTGTTTGAACCATTTGGCTGCTCAACCGCGATTTACGGATCGTTCCTGCATTTCTGTGTGGACAAATTAGGGTGAGCCCATTTCATCCCACGAAAAACCATTGCCATCTTAGATACCCCGCAACAAAATAATTCTGGTTGGTGGTGCAATAACCATCTCGAAAAATGATGGAGTTCGTCAATGGGGTTGGGATGACATCCCATATATATATATGAAATGGAACATTTGAAACCACCAAGCAGTAATTTGTGAGCTGCTTAGTAGATGTTTCTGCAACATATAAGAGGATTAGGCACCATCCAGATCATCCAGCTGGTTGAGTCACGACCTCTCCAACAATCCAGGCCTATCCATGCTGGAGCTGTCGCAAGGGTCTTTTCATCTTCGACTGGAACACGGTTCGACATGGCGAAGGAAAATCTGCCACCATGGGATTCGATGGGACAAACCAGCCAATACGCAATGGAAATATACAGTAAATGGGATATGTTTGGACATATACATATATTTTTTATCTATTTATTTATGCAACCTTGCATATAACCAACTTAATATGATATCTAGTGCCCCAGTTTGCTGGCTATATTGATTTTTCATTAAGGTCAGACCAGGTCAGGCTACAGTTTTTGGTGAAATAACGTTACGAACAGACCCCGTGGTTTTGCCCAGGAACAGAATAACGTAAAGAAAGACCAATATTATACGTATAATATATCTATATATGTAAATATATGATTGTATAGGTATCATATGAGAATATATGAGAAGAACTAAGAGACCAATAATTTTTCTTCGAGCTCAAATAAAAGAGATGAACTTGTGCTGGCGAAGTGAGCATGGCATTGCGGATGGGAAAGAAAATTGTACCGCTATTGGGCTTCATTTGGCTTTTACATATAATTACAATATATATATATATATATATATCGTACCCGCATAGAACAATTAACCATACTGCAGTTAGGGTTTCAGTTAGGGTATATACATATATTGTATAATATGAGATATATACGGTCAACCATCTCTAATTCCCACGGGACAATTAACCATACCGCAATCATCATCCTCCTCATCATCATCATCATCAGAATCAGAGCCATGTCCAGTTCCGGGCAACCAGAAGGTCTTGCCAGAACGTTAGTTTCACTGACAACCTTTATTTGCGGAGCACCACCTCGTATTTCATGGAAAACCAATTAAAACCATATGGGGGTTTCCTAAAATGGTGGATCCCCAAAACCATAGGTTTCAATACTATAAAATGGTCTAAATTGAGGAAACCTCCGTATGATAACATGGTTTCCTCTCAATCATGATTGAACTCAGCATGATTGCTGTCTCTACCACCTGCCATGAACCCTTGATCTGTAGTCGAGAGGGTGGATGGTTTTTCCCAGCAGAAATGGACCGCCTTTGGCAAAATGCCTCAACTGTTTAAAGGGGCTCCAGAAACCAAAGTACTCAGCTACTAAGTGGCGAAATTCAACATACAACCCAAATATTCGATAGTAGATTAGTCTTACAGATTCTAAAAACTTTTTGGTAACACTATCGGATTTAAGGGGAAACATACATCGAATGAAGAGAAAACGATGTGGAACTCGGCATTTTCACCAGCATTTTGAGAGGTGGACCATCTGGATCCCACGAGGGAACAGTTGCATGCCACACTACCTTCGTCATGGCTACAGTATGTGAATGGGTCAGTCCCAAATTCTGCAGTTAGCACTTGGATGCGCATCGCAGTTGGTACAATAACCATTGTAAGATATTGTAAGTAATCATTCCTAGATGCCCCAAATACTGGTAAGTAATCATTCCTAAGATATTGTAAGTAATCATTCCTTACTGGTGCGTTTTACGTGGGGTTGCTGGGATGATGAATGTTACTAGTGATGACTGGGATCATTCCCGAAAATTCCCTGCGTTTAGCACCAGTGAGACAAAAAGAGTTAAACGGGAGATTGTGTAGGAACCCTTGCATGCCACACTACCTGACTACCTTCATCATGGCTACAATATGTGAATGGGCCAGTCCCAATTTGTATAAGTAATCATTCCTAGATTCCCCTAATACTAAACACCCCCAAAATGGTCCCAAAATATCTGTAAGTCCAATTCCCTATTCAACCATAGTTTCTGGGCCAGATGAAGGGGGGGCTAATGTTGGATCAACCTGGAAGGCCAGGTGTCTGGCCGCTGGGTGCGTCAAACTGAATGAAGGTGTTGTGCACCGGAATTTCCTCGCGAAGATGTCACCCCAAGCTGGTAAGAGCTTCAGCAGACTCAACATGTCTGGGATTCCCAAAAAACACCGGAGTTCATGTTCATTCCCATGTTTGCCATAGTTTAAGCACCACCCCATAGGAATTGCACCCCTGGATGATGACTCCATGTCCTATTATAACTGGCGACCAACCATGGACATCACTGACACACACACAGAGATGTATATATATATATGTATGTATATATATATATGTATGTATATATATATATACTGGTTGGTGGTATACCTACCCCTCTGAAAAATATGAGTTCGTCAGTTGGGATGATGACATTCCCAACTGTTTCTGGAAAGTCATAATCCATTCATGTTCCAAACCACCAATCAGTATATATATATATATCACATCTGGGAGGTCCAGGAAATCTTCAGCACATTTCAGCACCATTTTTTTGGATCCAGCCCATCCGGAGACAGCCACCGACCTCCTTTGAAAAGAACGAATCCGGAAGCGGCGACGGCCTTTCCTTCTTGGGCCTCAGGTTTTTAGCGAGGCCTGCTGGGAGGCTGTTCTGAACTGTGTTTGAGTTGCTGTGGTGATGTGGGTCTGAAAATAGGGGATAGCCCCATTTTTGGTGATCATCCATTGAAATTGAGGTACCATATCCCATATGCTCCATATATATTTACCTACATTTGCCCTAAAAATCACCCAAATGTAGGTAAATATACCATACATGGATCCGATGGGTATTTTCAGACCCCATTAGTTGTGGTCTCTGATTCTTGACGTTCATGTTCGCGGATAATGAATCAAACAGCTACAGCCAGACAGGTAGAGCTGTCCATTCTGCCGCGTTCGAAGGGCTGCGACAAAGAGGAATCAGTCGATATATAGATCCCCCTGAAACAGTACAGAACAAACACAAAATCCAGAAAACCTCCGAAGGATCCACGAAACATCGCGAAACCATGCGAACCCCCCTTATTTAATCACGATTGAGACTTGATACCATGAATGTGTGTTGTTTCTTCTTTGGGTATGATGGACAATTTGCTGACAGACTCTGTTCCATGTTGGGTGAAGTGAGGTTATTGATTTGTCTTTCGCGTTGGGAAAGGCATGCCTATATAACTAGAGAATCCCGCCGTCCCAATTGAGAGTATCCTAATCCAGAATGTTGTACAGGAGTGTGCTACAAATAAAATCATCATTTTGCCGGATCTGCCAACCCATGTCTTTTTTAAGTTCCATGGTGTTCTGTTCATTGGGATGGTTGAAGGAAAGTTTTGGAAACACAACTCTAGGAAGAGTTGTGTGATTTCCTCTAGATTTCCCATGCCCACCATGTAATCAAACACAGCATTCCGCTCGCTCCCTCATTGTCATCACAGATTTCCCTGCCATGGCCATCATCGGGGATTTTCCCGCAACCCAACCCCTGGGCCGTCAAGCTTGGCACATTTGGGCTCAGGGGGCTGGGTTTCCAGAGCTTCAAGCATCTTGCCTGCCATGCCAAGGCGTGCCAAGTTAACCATGGGATGAATGGGCGAACTGACCCTCCCAAAGAGCATGAAGGAATTGCATTCTGATTAATGGGTATACGGTATACAGGTATAATATGTATATATATATATATTATATGGTTGGTGGTATACCTACCCTTCTGAAAAATATCAGTCAGTTGGGATGATTATTCCCAATATATGGAAACATACAAAATGTTCCAAACCACCATCCAGTATATATATATATATATATTATAGTCTAACTGTTTACGATATTATGGGTTGATGACTGAAATTACGGCAGCGAATACCGTCAGTTGTATAGGGGTTATTAATCCCTCACCACAACACCAAATCACTCCACTCTATTTCTCCGTTTCGCCAAGCCGTGATTGGCTTCAAGGGCCCTTGTGAACCCAAATGATTGCGAGGCCTTTCATACAAGCAAGTGGTGACATGTCACGTAGTGAGCATGACCCCGACATGTCACGTAGTGAGCATGACCCCACTGACTTTCATACGCCCTCAGGCTGAGAAAATCATTTCAGCCATCATTCATGCTTCCTTGTCTCAACGCTTCACTTCAGGCATCGAGTGAATTCCGAGGTTTCCTGACGCTGCCACTTGATCTTCTTCAGGTACAAAGCAAAATCAACCGCTTGGGTCTTCTTGCACTTCTCAATGTCTTCATTGGCAGGCGTGTAATTGGATCGGATCCACTGAATGTAGCGGGCTGTCTCTGTGCAGTTGGTCGCACGGTAGATGAGCTCATCATATGTGATGTTCTCGTCACTGTATTTCTTCATCTTGATAATCGTGCGGCCCCACTCATTCACATTGTGCACACCGGGCGGCAGGGGAATGACCACCTGACCTCCAGCGGGTGCGTATGACGCCATAGGAGCACCAGAAGCGCACGGCTTCTGCACGGGTGACTTGTAGCCCTCTGCGAAGTCAAGGCTCGGATCCTCATCACGGGGCTCCGTTCCACATTGCTCTGTCAGGGCCTCCCACTCTGAATCGGTATCCAGACGGCGCTTCGAGGCATCACTCATGCCTTGTTGGACTTTGTCAAGCAAGTCCTGGACATGAACCTCGGTGCCACGGCCATGAATGTGGCGGCCAACCGCTTGAACAAGGCGCCATCCCTGCTCATGCACGATGGCTCGATGAACCAGTTCGGCACAACGGCTGACTTCCACCTCAGACAAAGGGCCGGTGGAATCGGTCTTCGAAAGCTTCGACATGCGGCCGGACATCTAGGCTACAAATCAGCTAAGATCGGCGGAGTCGGAAGTCTGACTGAATTTCCAAAAAGCTGCACTCATGAAGAGACGCTGCAAAAACAGGCGGCACTGTACAACTGGCTTGCAAAAACTTGGAAAATTACCCTTAAGGTTATCAGCCATATTCACAAGGTTATTAGGGCCCAGACCTATCGATTTCCCCATGGTTATTATACACTATACATGCATGGTGGATGCTAACGACTGGCGAGGCTCTCTTGGATTGCAGTAGCTATTGTGTTGGCAAAATGCCAGGGTTCCCTTTTGCCTTCTCTTTTCTGCCTGACTCGGTGCATGGTTTGATATGGTACATCCAGTTTTTGAGTAAATCAAAGAGGGGACGATTGTCTGCTTTGAGTTTGGTAAGCACATCTGCGGCCATTCTCAAGTTGTTGATCCAAAAGGCTATTATGTTTTGATTCTCCATAGTTTCCTTAGCAATGGCATAATCAATTTGAAGCCTACGTTCAACTGAAATGGATTGACTGCAGCAACTTCTTGTGACAGCATCGTAAAACCCTTTTGAATCCACTACAAGTGCAGCTGGATGTTGAGGCTTGAGATTACGAAACTCCTTTGGGGATGTTCCATCTATTGTTTCAGCCATTAGTGCTTGGAACATCTCTATGGCATCCAGACCATTCTGTCCTACTAGAGTTTCTGCTGCTACTGATGAACGAACTGCACGGCGCAATTTCTTTGACGACCAATCAACGATCCAACATCGTGCAGGCTTCTGCTGAAGCATGGGACTGGCTACCAGGCACAACAAGTATCCACCTTGAGACTCACCGTTTCCTCTAGTACCCCAACCAGCATCACTTATGGCCATGATGCGCCAGTCTTTGATGGGAACATCACTAGGGAATTTGAGGCAAATCTTACTTTCCTTCATCTCACGGACTGCCTTGTTGTAAAGCTGCACATGGGACACGGTTCCTTTGTCCTGCATGCCCTGCAAGTAAGACGACAGGAACGCCTGATCTGGCCGAGTTGAATTTGCTACCCAGGCTAACTGTCCTGCGCACTGCCTCAAAAGGCTTGGATTGGACAGCGCGGTGCCAGCACTACCCAGTGGCTTAGTTGGTACCTGGTTCAACCCTTCTATATAGGACTCCTGGCCAACTTCTATGCTATAGTTCGATGGGTTCTGTCGGATTTCTACCCCCGTGTATCGGATTGTGAAAGTGCGATAATCCCCAAATGGCAACTTGCTTTTGAGTTGGGAAAGAACTTCATCCATCTCTTTTGTTCCTCCTCCTAGAATATCGTCAACATGTATTCCACAAATCCCACACAGTTTTCCCTTTTTCCTTAAAACAAAAAGACATGGATCTAGTTTGGATTGGGAAAGTCCTACAGCATTCATTTCTCGGGTTAATCGTAAGAACCATGCTCGGGGTGCTTCTGCTAACCCATATGCTGCTTTTTCCAATTTCATGAGATCCCCTTCATCAAGTTTCATCCATTGTCTAATCTCAGGTGGGGGACGAAAGTAGATTTCCCTATTCGAAGGATCACCCGACAAGAACGCCGTTTTGATGTCGGCTCCCCACAACTTCCAGTGCATGGCTGCGCACAGAGAAAGTACTAAACTTTTGGATTCCTTTCGGAGCGTGGGGCTATCCGCGGCAATTCGACCCAACTCTGGATCCTGCCAACCCACCAAAACTAGCCTAGCCTTCGGGGTTTGCTGCTTTTCATCGGGATCTGAAGACTTTTTCCATACCAACACCCACCTAGCTTTTATTATTCTATCAATTGGGATTCCCTTGGATTTACAAATAGTGGTGACCTTGTTTTCTACCCATGAGTTCCACTCCTTTTGCATGGCTTTTTCAAACAACTTTTTGTCATGGTCATTCAACTTCCGGAAATTTACTTCTACCCTGCGTTGTTTGGCTGCTGCAGGGGTTGCCATGAAACACTCATCAAGTACTCCCCATAGGAAATGGGAATCGTCACACACATCTGTTGCAAACACATCCAGGGATACCTCAAGAACCTGTTCCACCTTTTTACCAGAGACCAGAAGGTCTTCATCATCATTTGGTACTGGCACCTCATGCGGAGGAAGGCTGGGAGCTGAAGGCTCTGCGGCTTCGGCTGGCGGTGCATCTGCTGTTGATGCTGCAGCTTCAGGCACTTCTGACGGCTCAACAGCTACTGAGGATGGCTGTTCTTGGGGTTCCATTGATTCATCTACTTCATTTCTAGGTGAATGAGCTGGGGTTGTTGGCTCATATGGGTGTTCATCTTCAGCGGGTTGCCCATCATTTAGTTTTCTGCGGTGAGCCGGTGGCTCTTCAGGAATTTGTGTCAAGACAGTGGGTTCATCGCCCTCTTGGATTGGACCTAATGGTGGCATCCCTCTACTACGTTTCTGCCAATACTCTGGGGATCGGTTGAAACGAACACGGATTTTTCGGGGGGCAGGGAGCCCATCATCGCCCTCCAAGTTAGGACGTTTGGTGGATTTCCGTCTAGGGGGGTTATCATCATCATCATCATCGTTATTGTCATCCCCTCCCATGTCATCATCATCAGGCTCTTCCTGTACATCATCTTCTAGTTCAAAGTCATTATCATCAGGTGGTAGTTCTTGCGTCAGGTCATGAAACTGGCCAGCTTTTTCACGCAAGTTCTGCTCTGCAGCTTCGGCTTCCGGATGCAACCTACCTTCTGACAATTGTTTGGCAAGACGACGGAATTCACTTTCATCTTCTGGAACTGGACGTAATCCTTCAGGTGAACACTTGTAGATAAATCCATTCCATGAAACCCATACTATTCTTGGTACATGGTGTCCTGTGGAACTTTCGACACCGATTACCCTACCAGGACCATTCCAGAAACCATTACGTGTTGTCAGTTGACCTTTGCCCCTCCTACGGAACATGTACACTAACTGACCAACCATGTATGGACCTCGTAATGGCCTGTTGCGACTTGCAATGGCTCTACGCCAAACATCCTTAGCATGAGCCTCAAGGAAGGCTCTGGCTGCATCCTCACGAAGGTGCATTTTGGCTTGAAAGGATGGATCGGTGATGATCTGAGACTGTACTGCAGGGTTTTCCTGAGCCTCGACATCTATCAACCAACCGGCATGACGTGTGTCTTGTCCTAAGAACCATTGGGCAGGGCTGAATCCTGATTTTCTCAGCAGTTGGTTTCTTACGCTGGAACATGCTTCAATCACTTCTTCAACAGGACGGCTGGTTGTCCTCCAAGTTCTACGTGCCATGTCTCTCAAGACACGGTTGGCAATCTCTACACGGCCAATCTGCCAATGGCTGTCGGCGGCACAATGCAGTAGGTTGATTCCATAATGGCGCAAATAAGCTTGAAAGTCCTTTGACAAATTGGTTTGTTGAGGGTCCATGTAAACTGTCTTAGGTGCACCATACGGACGGGTCCAAACTGCATGAAACGCTTTGGAGAGATTGTCCTGGCCGAATCCTGGCACGACAATCTGCTGGCAAAAGTCAGTTCCCAGACACACGCAGGTCAAGACATTAAACTTACGTTCTACCATATCCCCATTCTCTTCATCCCTTTTAAGTTCTACTTGGACATAGTCTACCCCAACTATTTGGTTTGGCTGGTCTGCATGAGGCATCGTGGCACTGCGTCTCAAAGTAGGCAACTTAAGTTCTTCACAAACAGAACATTTAAAATGGCGGATGGCATCTTTGACAGTGTCTGATGAATGACAACGATTTGCCAGGCGCATCATCTGCTCCGGTGATGCATGTCCAGTGTTGATGTGAAGTTTCATCACAATTTGTTTTGCTCGTGCTGTTTTCTCAACTTGTTGCTTCTGTGCGTCACCGGCTGGTGCTTCAACTGGCATATCTTCTGCAAGCTCATCGTCGTCCAACGCATAGACATACTCTTGAGTGCTGGCTGGAGGCATGTCGTTCTGCTGGACATCTTGGACAATCAGTTCGGACACAACATTGCAGAATTTTGTGGGGTAAGTTTCAGCTATGCTAGACAGGTTTCTCCCCTTATACTTACCCTCCAAATGTCCATGTTGATGGCGGTGATCACATCGATACTGCTGCATGCCTTCGGCAAAACTACGCTGAGAGGTGACCAGTCGGGTCGGCTTGAGGACTGGCAACCGAGTTTTTGGACAACGAAGACCCAAGGCACATTGGTCAACACGAATGTTATATACTTCTCCTAAACAAAGTTCTCCCCAAGCTTCACTGGTTAAGGGGTTTTCACAATGACAGTGTCCTCCAAGGGCTGTTTGGAGTGCCCAGGCTTCGGTGACCGCATGCAGGTGTCGTCGGGCTTTCGCCCTCTGAGCAACAATCTTTTCACGGCAAGAACCTCCTTTTGACATGTTAAAACGGCTCCATGGTCCCCAACATCCACAAGGAAATGAAAACCAGACATGACGTGGCCTGACATATGCAATAAGGGTCATAAGCATCCTACGGTCTTTGAGTTGATCAAGGTTATGACCATATTCTAAACCGATTCGAATGCTTGGCACTTGAAGTTTCTCTTCAACCCGTTTTGCAAGAGGTGCTTTACCTGTGAAAACTTCCAGGAAGTGGACGTTTTGGTCCAAGGCTGTGCTTTGTGGGCCTAACCATTCACTGAGCTCGCGACGAACCGCTTCAGGCTCCTCATGAACTCTGGTCATGACCAACTGAGCTTGTGTGCGACGTAAAGACGTCATGGAAGCAAGCAACATTTCCTGTGTTTCCTTTGGAATTGGTTCAGTGTTGATGTCCAACCAGTCCATTTCTTCATACAACATTTCTAAATCATCTTTCCCATTGTCCCCATTATCATGAGTCCCGTGATCATGTTCAACTTCATTACAACAATAGCAACATGGCTCAGCATTACGGTCGGCTGACCGGGTGGCTTTTGGCTGTGCTGACATCTCGGATGTCACGGGGCGATATGCAAACATGGCTATGCTCACATGTGGGACACGGCATCTGGTGGATCCTGCAGGGCGGATTGACCAAGGAGATACAGAAAACTCACCTTCTCTGGTCAAGGTCAATATGGATTGCTGGATTTCACCGTCTGCAAGTTCCGTGGGAACTCTCTCAAGCTTAGGCTTATATGCTATCATGGCATGTGAAACCTCTAAACCTGAATTTCCATAGATGATTTTGAATTCTTCTTGAAACTTCTGGACATCTACAATTCCATTCTTTGTGTTCTTTGCTATGTGCTGGAATGCTCTACGCCTATCCCCTGTAGTTATCTTACCATTTTTGGTGGGCTTACCCTTATCCCTTTTGATTTCAACTACACACTGGTCCTCGGATGGGCCAGGGCTCTGCAAAGGCTCGGATGGCGTTGGAGTTTCGGCAGCTTCTGCATCATTGGGCTCATACTCAGGCTGACATGGCTGGGCGTCAGCACGAATCATCGATTCTGCAAGCTGTGATTCTTCTACATGGAAATCATTGGGAATCTCGTACAGCGGCATCAAGAAGTGACCATTGGCAGCTTGCCGTAACGGCACATTGAACATACCATGGTGCTCACTTGTAATGGACTTTTGGCCGAGGTCAAGTTTGGCCTTCATACCTTCCAGGACTCTGCGCGACAACAGAAATGGTGTCTGACCAGGCACAACGTACGTAGTGACTGACCCCCACAAAGATCCCAGCTTGACATGCCAACGAAGTCCAGTGGTCGTTTCGACCTTACCACCTTGAAACCCTTTTAGTTCAACCGGAGGCAAATCACATTCTGCAGGCTGAGGCAAGTTGCGGCGTCTCAAGAACTCCTGAAACTTGGCTGCTGTGTCACTTCCTATGACTGACGTTGTGCAACCCGTATCCAAAATTGCATGACCTTCAGGAATACTTGCAAGCAAAACTTCTTCGGAGGTCCATGTGTTGGCTGCAGTTGCAAAACTTGGAGAGGCTTCTGCCATGTATGCAAATGAACTGACCAGCACAGACTCGGTCATGTTTGCTTCTTCCTTCTTGGAAGGACGGCCGCCATCTTTCTTACCCTTGACATAAGGCTTGCTCGATGATTTCTTGTCATATTTGAAGTTGGACTTTTGCAAGGGTGCTTGGTTCTGAGAAGACTGCGAGGGCTGACTCTGATCCTGAGGCTGTGTCAAGGCGACTACAGGATAGTATGGCTGTCTGCTCCTCTTCAGTTCTTTGACTCTCTTCTTCGTATCTTTGTAAGTCTTGAATGACTTACGGAACTTCTCTTTTGACTTCCTTTGCAACTCATAAACTTCTTGCAATTCATTTTGAAACTCTTCTTCACTGGAATCCATTTGGTCGACGGCCATGACGTCGTCATTGGACATGGAATCATCAGTATCTACGGCTGCAAGGCTGGAAGAATCACTTTGTTCTACTGCATGGACATGTTCTTGAACTGCATAGGCTTCCCGACGACTCGGACGTTGAGGTCTACGGTCTTCGGACTTGTGGCTTTCTTCCAAGTCCGATGCTCTCAAGATTCGTTCAACATCGATGAACCTGGAGGATCCATTTGTCGAGCGAACTACTTGGGCACGTTGCTCTCGGGAAAGACCATACTTACGCATGAACAAATGGCCAAGGACAGATTGAGGAAATATTGGTTTGGGCTTGACATGCCCCATCTCCAAGGTTCCAAGCATCTGCTGCATTTTGGCCTGGGCCTTTGTCCAGTCTTTCTCATAAGAGCCATAAGAGCTATGCTGTTTCTTGCGAGACCTATTTGAACTGGTGACGGATGCAGTTCCAGGGCCTCTGGCCGGCTGGCCAGGCTCAGCTGCAGGTGGAGCAGCTTCGGATGCATCAGCTGTGCCACTGGTCGGCTCAGCTTCGGGTCTGGCAGGTTCAGCAGGATGTTCGGTTCCTGCTCCTTCCGATGCAGTTTCTTCCAACTCGGACTCATACAGCTCATCCACGGGTGGGATGTCTCCAGGCTTTTCAGTTGTGCGACGGCGCTTGGAACGAGTCATTTCACGTTCCTGGCTGATCAGTGTTTCAACTCTGGCAAGCTGAGTTCTAAACCTACTTGCAAAGGCAGTGGCTCCTTCACCTTGTCGACGTTTCAGTGCGAAAAGAAACTCATCTATGCTCTCATGTAACTCTGTCTCAGGCAGGAATTTATAATGCTCATCAAGTGCTTTGATCACAACCATGAAACCATCAGGCGATCTCAACTGAGAAATGTTAAGGTGCTCAGTGGCACGCCAGGCTTCACCACTCAGTCGCGAAAGGAGTCGGGGACCTGCTAGGTGTGCATGCTTGTCCTCCAACCCAGCGATCGCCAGCAATGTCTTGCGACGAAAGTCACGGTACCCTGAGGGTTTTCCATCAAATGAAACATCCCTCAGTGCGTCTTTGCCACCATCCATGTTGGTGGCCACCAGATTGGCCGAAAGGCCTCAGTTTCCAGGATAGGACAAAATGTCCTCACAAAGACCGCGAGGTCGAGCGCGGAAGCAGGTCACGGATCTCCTGCTCCGCTACCATGAAATTACGGCAGCGAATACCGTCAGTTGTATAGGGGTTATTAATCCCTCACCACAACACCAAATCACTCCACTCTATTTCTCCGTTTCGCCAAGCCGTGATTGGCTTCAAGGGCCCTTGTGAACCCAAATGATTGCGAGGCCTTTCATACAAGCAAGTGGTGACATGTCACGTAGTGAGCATGACCCCGACATGTCACGTAGTGAGCATGACCCCACTGACTTTCATAGGTGGTATACCTACCCTTCTGAAAAATATCAGTCAGTTGGGATGATTATTCCCAATATATGGAAACATATAAAATGTTCCACCATCCAGTATATATATATATATTATAGTCTAACTGTTTACGATATTATGGGTTGATGACCATCCCCCAAATATGCAAAAAAAAACTCTGGTAAGCTAAAATATAGCTATGAATTATGAAGATCACCATGTTTTAAAGGTACTTCATCTATAAATTGGACATGGTTTCCATAATTAATTGTGTTTATTCACCAGAGAGTAATGGGCATATTAACATCTGCTAATAGTATGGACTGAGGATCATCCCCCAATATGTGAAAATGAACCAAATTTTGACAACACAAAATATGGTTTTCAAATGTTGGCGACCTTCGATAATCAGTCATTGGGTTCTTTCATCAAATTTTATTGGGTGAGACAACATGTCAAGCTGAACGAAACAGTCTGAACTAAGCAATTGATATAACCCAGATGTTAGTGATCAAAAGAAATCCGAGCACAAAACCATTTTCGAATTTCAAAATCCTTGACACATTGGAGGCACCTGCTTGACCAATACCATGGGGACCAAATCGGTGTGCCATTGGACTTTCGGACTTCCCCTCCCCTTCAGGCGGTCTTGAATCTCGACCGGCTTGAATTTCTTTGACTGAAGCAAAGTCCGATTTCGGAGTCGATATCAATGAATTTGGGATTTTACCATCAGTTTCCAGGGTAAATTTGGAACTCATCCCATTGAAATCATCGGAAATTAGGATTGTGAAACAGATTCCTCACAGAACCCCAAAATCAAGAAAAAAACAAAACAAACAAATAGTAAAAAACAATCCAAAGAAACAACTGATTTAAAAAAACAAAAAAACAAAATAAAAACAACTGGAAAACTCAGACTCAACAGAGCACTCAGAAAAAACAAACAAAAACATTGAAACACAGAGATCCGAAAGAAGATTCAACAGCAGACTCAGCCGAAAACTCACCATCCAGACCTCCCACGGGCTCAAAAGATGATCCATCCACACTCAAATCTGCATGGATTTCCTGGATTTCTTTCCTGGTTGTTCAGCAGATTTCCCAAGTTCTTCCTTCAAAACAACAGCATTTTGGGAAATCCAAGTTTACTTTCTTGTTTTTGTTGCTTATTATTTGATATGTGTTTAAGTTTATCTTTTTGTGTTTTTGTTTTTTTTCCGAGTCTTCTATTGAGTCTCTGTTTTCGAGTTATTTTTTTTGTTTTTTTTCAGTTGTTGTTTTTTGAATTGTTGTATTTTTGATTATTTTTTTCATGTTTTTTTCGGAATCAGCACTTCTCTGGGCTAAATCAACTTAGGATCGTCCCACGTAACTCATGTAACGGTGTAAATCGACATAGGCTCAAGTTAAAATGACTGGCTTATCATTTCCTCCATATTTGTTTTGCCATTTTGGGAGTATTCCGCATCTTTTAAAAAAAAGAATAAACCCAAATCAAATCATATCAAGTTGGTGATAGATATCCCATTGAATTCACTGCAGTAAATCTGCATCGAATCCCATTATCCCTACGAAATGCATGAAAAGCACAAAAATCACATGAGTCTTGGATATTCCCATATATTCCCATGAAATCTTATACATTGGCTGGCTAATCCCTCTAAATCCATGGCTGATACTGGCGGTGTATCCCATACGATACCCAATTATATTCCACCCAATCGCCAATATGTATGTATATATAATTAATATATAGTTACACATAAATAAATAAATAAAAAGACAAACAAAATAAACTAACTAACTAACTAACTAACTAACTAACTCACTAACTCACTCTCTCACTAACTAACTAACTAAGCAGCTAACTAAGTAGCTAACTAGCACGCTAACTAACGAACTAGAAAATTAGCTCACTAACTAGTTCACTAACCTTTTTTAACTAACTCATTAAACTAACTCACCAACTCAATAAACAATAAAAAACAATAAAACATCAACATCTCCTATGGATTCCTATGCCAGCCATCCCCAGCCATTTCAACATTCCCATCTCGCTTCGGGCGCCTGCAGCCACGACGCGAGTTTCTGCGCCACGAACTCAGCACGGAGTGACCACCATCAGCCTGGAGGTGACGTGTCGCGGACAAACGGCGCCCTGAAACGCTTCCGTCAAGGCTTGGTTCAAGATGCTTGATATGCTTGGTTTCCCCTCTGGTAAACTAACATAGCTATTGAAAATGGCCATTTATAGTGGATTTTCCCATTCAAAATGGTGATTTTCCATAGTTATGTTAAATTACCAGAGGGTAATGGAGATATAACACTAAGGGATTTGATATCATGATTCATGATTGAATATACTGCAATGGTTGGTTTCATGGTTGATTTTTCATGGGGATTCTATATGATGATTGAATATCATTGATGTTGAATATACTAGGAAATATAGTAGAATTATCTATTGAATATCCATGGGAAGCAAAAGGGATGTCATGGGATGCTCATGGCAATATAGGGGGCTTTTTGCGAATTTACACCACCCTTTCTACAATGTGGCTTGAAAAAAGGCCAATATCTTCGGAATTATGGCTCTATATAACAGTAAAAACATTAAACAATATATTGGGAATATTATGGCTTATGTTTCCGTCAATGGTCGGTTTAATGGGGATAGTTCATCGGGACTCAATGAATTTTCCCCAGCCAATATATATCTATATCGGGATTCAATTGGATATAACCAACAACCTAACTGGATTATATTAAAACACTAACGAATGAGCGCCCTTACACGGTTGATATTGGACAATTGAACAGACCCAAATAGGACACCCAAACTATAGTTAAGTTAACTGAAACAAAACTAGACTAACTAATGTTTGTTTGTTTGGGGGTTGAGGGAATACATCATGATGTATCTGCAGTTGCATAGGTTTGTTGTAAGCACACTAAGAACTGCGGGATCCCTTGTACTTGGATGTGCATCCTAAGCAGAAAATTGTCCAAATAACGACTAAGTTATTCTTTAAAACAAACCTTGAAAATAATCAAGAAGAAACAGTGTTTTCATCAAACAAAAATCAGAAAAATAAACTCCTACATATATCATAGCCTGTGTATGTAAAGACACAATCGTTTTTGATGGGCTTAGTTGTTTTTGATGTGTGCTCGTGCTGCAGCCGAAGAAAAGAAACACAGAATAGAAGAAGTAGAAAAGGAGCAGTGCCATTACTAGCAAAAGGATGGTATCTATAGAGCATGCAATACCAATACCTATTCTCACTCGTATATAATACTTCCTTCCTTCCTTCCTTCCTGCCTGCCTGCCTTCTTTCCTTCCTACCTTCCTTCATTCCTTCCTTCCTTCCCTCCCTCCCTTCCTTCCTATCCTTCCCCTTCCAAGTTTACTAGTTTTTTGATTGCTTCGATGTATCCAAGCGATTTTTGATATTTAAATGTTGTTTTGATGCTCCACTATTATGTTTGATTATTGATTTTTCTGATAGGCTTCCCGTATGCAACCACTTACAAGCGAGGATATTGTGGATATTCCCCTGTCGAAGTGGAATATAGTGTGTGCCTGCAACCACTTAGAAAGAGGTTTGGTGGTGCATCTACATATGCATATGTATATACACGGAATACCTTTCGGCAGTTGTGTATGTACATGAATATAGTCTGTACCCGTTTGTACCCTAATTAATCAACCAGGGTCAACATTCATCTGGGGCCGCTGCAGCCACTTCCCGCCAAGAGACTTCGCCGTTCGCGGCGCGCTGAAGGTCGAGAAGGGGTTGGCGAACTTGTCCCAAGGTTGCGATGTTTGCATGTTGGTGGGCTATGTTTTGAATGTGCATATATATATATGTGTGTGTGCATATATATGTATATACATATATACATGTGTATATATATATGGATATGTATATGTACACGCCTAAGTATAAGTATGATCCTTTTTCAAACACATGTCTTAAAACACTGAAGTCCTTTGAAGAAAAACAAGACAAGCACTCCTTGATCCACGTGAAGCAATTTGCAAGAGCTATAAGGCATCGTGATGCAAGTTATCTAACTGTAATTTTGCCTGATTTATCTTGGGTGGAGCACAATTGCACTATGTCTGTAGTAATATTCCTTGAATGACCCCACGAAAACCCCCAACCACCCAGCTGCCTTTCAATCGAACTACTCTGAGCCAAAAAGAACATCAGGAAGAGAACAGCGAGCGGCAAAAAAACACAGTTTCGATCATTTGGGTGTGGGACAAAGCCCAGATACATCCAGATACCGTGATGAAAAAATCCCCAAGATGCCAAAATCATATGTGCTATGGTCATCCATAGTCAAGTTACGGTGCCCCTGGTTGTGATACCATCATGATACCATGGGAGTCCGCGAACTGGATGGGAATAATGACCCCAGTTTTCATACGGGGGTGACCAACCCATCTAACTGGACCATGGCGTAGGTGTTGCCCTGAAGTCGCTAAACCACAAGAGACATGTGCGAAACACCGCGCTTCTCAATGACCCAAAAATCACCGGAGCAGAATGTGGAGACCCCCTCACTATATAGGTAAGTTGACTTATAACCCGCCTTTTTTTTGTGGAGGGATAACCGGGGGATATCATGATAATCTACAGTTTTATAAACCAACAAACACAACTGAAGGGAGCACGTGTGGTAGGACCTTATGTTAGATCTCGCCTTTGCTGCCATGTCCAATTCAAATGATTGATGTGGTTATCACCGGAAAGTTTTGTCATCAGAAAGTCCCCAGCCTAAAGGCAAAGTACCATGGTTGGTGGTTTCAACCCCTCTGAAAAACATTAGTCAATGGGAAGGATTATCCCATATATTATGGAAAATAAAAAATGTTTGAAACCACCAACCAGCAAGGATTCACTTGGCTGTCTCTGAACAGGATGCATATCCTCAAATAACAATTCTAGTGGGAAAATGATGATTATCTATTGGGTTGTGACTTGCCCTATTTTCTGACAAGACAAAACCAGCTGTGTTTTTTTTCAGATCTTACAGCAATATGGGGTGGATCTCACTCAACACTTCACCAGGTTGGATCTCATATGATCTCATACTGTGGATGGGCCAGCAAAATCCTATAAACCACCAATATTGGATTGAAAGCCTACAACTAATGGCATGTTTACCATCTATTAACTGGTGATTCGGATTTCGCTGGCCCATCCACAGTATTTTGATATATGTCCCACAGCCACAATGATGGGGCACCACCTATAGAAACTTTGTTCTTACCCATGACATGACATCGGGAAGGAACAAGTAGGCTTTGATTTGGATGGGCTCCCATTACCCTCTGGTAATTTAACATAGCAATGGAAAATCACCATTTTCAATAGGTAAATCCACTATAAATGGGGTATTTTCAATAGCTATGTTAAATTACCAGAGGGTATTGTCCATGATATTGACTATTGCTATTGATTGCCAGACCATATTTCATGTAAATTAATGTGGTAAACTCAACGATAAACCATCCCCAGAATCACCATAAATGGGCTGTATAAACCAATTCTAATGGTGGACTTATTATTGGCTGCACCACATTACAAGATTCTGGGTAAATTATAATATTTCACTACCCTAACGGCCATAAAAGGGGATGATTCCCCTATATCTAAACCATAATTTCCAGGGTTCGGGAGAACAGTGAGGTCGTTATAATTTACCCAGATATATCATATATTATCCATAGATTCACCATTATTAACCATTATTAACCATAGATTCACCATAGATTCACCATAATTTACCATCAACTCAAAACATGGGCTTTCCCCGGGTTCGACTTTTCCCGACGTTTCCGCACCATGGCACCATGACCAACGGAGACCGACTCTCCGATGAATTCGCTTGGCTTTTTTGGAGTTGGGACAGTGTGGCGCAGCTCTGATGTTACCCTCTGGTAAACATAACAAAAAACGATGGAAAATCACGGGAAAACTCACTATTTCGCCATTTTCAATAGCTATTTTGACAGAACCAGGCCGGGTACACTTCATGACCGCCTGGACAAGAAGGACCAGCTTCAGGCTTTGCTCCAGGCTCACGAACAGTGGATGATTTAAGATGAATATGGACCCCAAATCCCATGGTTTATCTGCATATCCCCATGTTATAACACTATATATTGCATATATATATACACACACACCGTGTATATATGTATATGTATATATATATATATATATTGCTATTGTTGTTATCATTATTGTTATTGTTATTATTGTTATCATTATTGTTCTTATTACTATTATATAACCCTATTGATAGTTGTTGTAATTACAGTTAGACAACTGCCCGTATCCAGCGGGGAAATTTCATTGACACTTTCAAAAAATATGGGGTGGTATGGGCGTAGGGCGGAGGGATGTAATAACATTCACTTGCTGCTACTCCACTATATAATGTGGTTAAGCAATAGGATCCACCATCCCCAAAATCACTATGAATGGGTGGTATAAACCATCAAAATATTTTTTTTACTGCTTTACAAACACGGAGACTTCTTGCTTGCCTTTGCACCCATATTTGCTACTACGCTTGAGGCTTCTTGCTTGTATTTCACATGTACTTGCCACTTCGTATTTGCTATTACGCTAGAGACTTCTTGCTGGCATTTGCACGCGTACAGTACTATCTACTTTACTAGAGGCTTCTTCTGTAAAGTGCGACAGTCTAAGGATTCCGAAAATGAGCTTTTCAGCACGTACTTCCAATTTGAACAAAAATTTTAAACAAATGGAACTACGGATACTATGGATTCCAAAGTTCTCCAAACAGATTATGATTCGCCATGAAGTGGACTTTGCTCATCCACAGCCAATTGCGGATGGTGTACCGCAAGTAGTTGGAGCCCGACCCATAGACGGCCGTGGTGTTTTAAGCATTTTTTGGCAATTTTTCGTTTTTTGCTGGTCTTTCATGTCAACTAGCACACAGACGTCATGCTACGTTATGGTTATCTTGGGGTGGGGTTGGGTGGGGTGGGGTGGGGCAATGACGTTCATGTCAACTTGCACACACACGTCATGCTACGTTATTGTTATGTTCTCTTGCACTTGCACACACACGTCATGCTACGTTATGGTGATCTTCTCTTGCACTTGCTCACACACGTCATGCTACGCTATGGTTATGGGGCAATGACGTTCATGTCAACTTCTTGCACACCACACACGTCATGCTACGTTATGGTGATCTTCTCTTGCACTTGCACACACACGTCATGCTACGTTATGGTTATCTTGGGGTGGGGTTGGGTGGGGTGGGGTGGGGCAATGACGTTCATGTCAACTTGCCCACACACGTCATGCTACGTTATTGTTATGTTCTCTTGCACTTGCACACACACGTCATGCTACGTTATGGTGATCTTCTCTTGCACTTGCTCACACACGTCATGCTACGCTATGGTTATCTTGGGGTGGGGTGGGGTGGGGCAATGACGTTCATGTCAACTTGCACACACACACGTCATGCTACGTTATTGTTATGTTCTCTTGCACTTGCACACACACACACGTCATGCTACGTTATGGTTATCTTCTCTTGCACTTGCTCACACACGTCATGCTACGCTATGGTTATCTTGGGGTGGGGTTGGGTGGGGTGGGGTGGGGCAATGACGTTCATGTCAACTTGCACACACACGTCATGCTACGTTATTGTTATGTTCTCTTGCACTTGCACACACACGTCATGCTACGTTATGGTGATCTTCTCTTGCACTTGCTCACACACGTCATGCTACGCTATGGTTATCTTGGGGTGGGGTTGGGTGGGGTGGGGTGGGGCAATGACGTTCATGTCAACTTGCACACACACGTCATGCTACGTTATTGTTATGTTCTCTTGCACTTGCACACACACGTCATGCTACGTTATGGTGATCTTCTCTTGCACTTGCTCACACACGTCATGCTACGCTATGGTTATCTTGGGACCATTGACACCTCACCGATTTCTCGAAGAACTTTGCAAGGCCGTCAAAGCAATGAAGCGCTTCTGAGAAGAAGGGAAAAAAGTGCTGCATCCCAAAAAAACACGAACTTATGTCAAAAAACAAAGTAGTTTTGGAGATTTTCAAAACCCTATTTTTCACGTCAACATGAGAAAAAATGATGATGAAAAACTCCTAAAACCATACGGCCGTCTATGGGTCGGGAACCAAGTAGTTATACATAGCAACCTCAAAATACATAGAACAATGGGACATCATATACTTATATACCGTATGTGTATATATATATATATATTACATATATATTACATCTATTTAAATATCATATCATCCAACTAATCTCCTGATTTTGCACTGGTTTTTCACCATCCAGCGCCGGCGTGAAGCGACCACGCACGCGCCTCTCAGTCGCGTAAGGATGGAGATACTGGAGGCACCTGGCGAGCGAAGGAGGACCACGAGTTGACCAAAATGGATGGTTGATTTCATGGAAAATCCCAGCTATAAATTTATGATTTGGGAGTAGTCCTATGACTTAGGAAACCTCCATATGGTGGGAATATCATGGGAAATATGATGGACATATGATGGGAGTATGATGGGAACCCGATGGGATTTAATAAAATTTGGGTCACAAAACCATCATCTACTGTAGATCAGAAAAATCCAAGATAAAACCATATTTTCCAAACCCACAAATAGCATTGAAGTTCTTTGCTGTGCTACGCCACACGAAGTTCACCTTCCACCGAGCTCGGTTACCCAAACAGGGATGGGACTATGACTTTTCAAACAGTTGGACGAGTCCTCGGCCGTCACCAATTAATTGGCTGTCTGATTTATAGTCTGTACATCATCATCATCAGCATCATCATCATCATCATCCTCAATCATCCTCCTCATCCTATAGTCCATTAAACATCATCATTGAAACAATATACACATATGGTTGCATCTAACATGCAACACTGAAATATGATGATTATGACATATTATGACCTCAACCCATGGCACCTTTCATATCCTCTCATCCCATTGGCACCTTCAGCGCCTTCAACTTGCTGGCCCTCTGCAGTGGGCTGGGCCCCGCCACCCCTACCTGCGACGTCGCCACTCCCGGGTGCGGCGTTGCCGCGCCCGTGCGCGGCGTCATGTTGCCGGGCGCCGGCGATTTCTGCGTCTTCGTCGCGGGGACGGCGCCCAGCTGCGGCGAAGGCGAGAAGAAGGGCTCCAGCTCGGAGGCTGACGACATGTTGGCCACCTGTCCATGTTGGAAAAAAATTGGGATTTGGGAGCTGGTAAAATCACCTGGATGGGAGATTTATGTCAATATGATTGAATATGTAGATAAATTGTGGATATATATATATACACATATTTTTTATATGTATATAGAGGTTCAAGCCATTGATAACCAGCAAATAGATGGGAGATCATGTTGATATAATGGTCAGCCAAATCGGGATCTATGTCAATACAGGTTTATGGTGATTTATACAGGTTATATACAGGTTTAACGCACTCAGAAATTGGGAACAAGCATAGGCCATAGGATATCAATGGGATTTCTCGTGGTGTAACTTATGACCAACAATCCTTGGGTGTGTCTAAAAATGTGGTGATTTTCTATGTGGGATTTCAATGGATGACTCATGGGATCAATGGTGATATTCATGGGAGATATCACCAACTTAATATCATGTCATTACCCGGCCCGGTAAACGTTTAGAGTTTGCGAACTTGAAGCCATGGCCCATAGAAAATCATAGAAATAGTTGATTTACCCACTAAAAATGCATGGTGATTTTCTGTAGTTATGTTGGTTTACCAGAGGGTAATATGCTGATATCACCAATGTGGTCAATTGAGAAACTTCCACGAACAAATCCACTTATAATGTATGTATAGGTTAAGTATTGGGAATGATGGGGAGATAATGGGGATGTGACTATAATATACACACGCAGAACATATATGGTTGGAATAAATTTCCCATGAGGTACACAACAAATTTGGCCCTACAAATTGATATGGAGGTATTAATATGGATGGAAGCAGCCGACACGGTTGGAAGGGGCTCAGGCATTGCAAGTGGCTGATTTGCTTGTTTGATCACCCAGGTGTTTTGTTAGTTCTAGTCCCCGTTTGCTCGTCCCCCAAATCCGCAAAGGCATTCGTTTCCCGAGTAAAAAATAAACAATAACTCGGATGATAATAACATGGAGTTCTCATTTTATAAAATCTCCATGTGGATATCATATGCTGTATCTGACAATGAATCATCATTTCCAGATTAAAATAGCACATGTTGGGTTCCCTTTTTGGCCAAAGTCATACACATCAAGAGTGGGTAACCCCATCAAAATCGTCCAAGCACATATTATTCGCTATTACTTTGGCCCAAACATAATTAGATATGATACTATTACTATAACTAATTACTAGGTATTACTATGACTCCACCTCCCAGCAAGCCAATTGGACCTCGTTCAGGGTTCTGATATGACCCTTCCTGGGCGGAAGGGCACTATCCAGCATGGAACTCCAACAGTACGGTAGCTACATCCACAAAAAATCTTTGCGACATTTATATATTTCCTCAAGATGCTGGTTGTATTGCGACACCCCATAATTAAGTCGGTTTACAACTGAGTTTACTGTTCATTTATGCTAATGGGCTGATGAGAACTGTGATGATGTGGCCTGGTATAGTTCACCAAGTTATTGTTGGATCCAGAATCCTTGCGAACATTTTGTGTGAACTTTTGATGCATGGTGGGATAAACCTCAAATTGGGGATGGCTTGTACCTGCAATTTACAAGTGTCTGGTTTACCTATCAGTCCCACAGTAGGATTCTGCTTGAGGGATGTTTCCCAACATTGGTGTAACCAAAACTATTGGTTTCCCACAAAAAAACAATGACCAATTCTCTGGAATTTGGTATCCACAATGTTGAGAAAGCGTCAGAATTCAAGATGATCCATTTTGAACATAACAGACCCTGATCAAATGGATCCTTATCGCAAAATGCACTTTCGTAGCAGCAGGTTAGGTCCTCACCACACACAAGATACCTTCCGGTGTCATCAAACGCGCCTTGAAATTCCCGAAGTAAATGGATGTTTTTTTTCTGAGAAAATCATCTAAATTATACATAGTGGATTTCCATGGATTTCCAACATGTCATGTTGACACCAGAGGGTCCCAACAAACAACACCATGAGGCAATTTCTCATCATCCTCCGGCCCCGGACTGCTGAAAAATCTTGGATATTGCCAACAACAAAAGGGACATATGTGACATACCTTAAAAGCCACTGAGCATCTTTCCAAACAATCACAGTTCTCAATTTTCAACTGCAACCCAGTAGTCAGATGCGCCCTGAATACCGCACTAAAAGTGGCTTTAAATCCTTGGATTTCCTCAGCTTCCACAGAATAGAAACATGAAGAAAAACATGGAAAAATCCCAGCCCTTCCAACTTTCAAGGCGCAACAAATCCATGGTCTTGTCCATCAATGCACACGATCGTTCCAGGGTAGACACCTGTGTCTGAAAATGGATGAAGCAGTGGAAATAGGCTACCCCATTCTCAACCGTTTTTTCAAAGATGAGGCACCCCAGTTATGAGTTTGTTTATAAACCCGTTCACTATAGTTACCCTCTGGTTATTTGTTACAGTTTGCCATGGTATAGATGGCCCATAGAAATAGATGGTTTACCGTTCTTAATAGCATGGTGGATCTTTCCACGGCGAACTGTTAGTCATAACCAGGGGCTATATCACCCATAAACCCACACGTCAACCAAGTCATCTGGTGCAAAGGCCATGTGTGGTCACTCCAGTGCCATGATCTTCCCATGATAAGACCGGATGGTACGTTCGGTGGTGCCCCCAATCGAGCTCGCGTTCAGTTGGGGGCCACATAACTCCAATAACTACATTAGTTTTTTTTGGGCATAGGTTTTATAAACCAATAAAGATAACTTTTTTTGTGGCACCACCGAACGTAAGACCCAGCTCTTGTAAGACTCAGCGCCTGCAACTGGGTGTTCTGCTTGGTATCCTGGTGAGAACATGAATTCGACCGATGGCGACCCTGCTGGATCTTTGAGGGTACCCTCTGGTAAACTAACATAACTATGGAAAACCACCATTTTTAAGGGGACAACTCACTATAAATGACCATTTTCAATAGCTATGCAACAAATTACCAGAGGGTAACTGGGCTCAGTGGCCAGATAAAAGGGATGTTGAATGATGTTTAATGATGTTTACCACCCCCCTCGAAGATCTGCAGCCAGACTTTACGCCTTGTCGTTGAAACATATTGGAAAAAATGGATAACTCTGGCTACGGGTCAACATCAAAAACGGAGATCATAGAGGCGCTGGTAACATTTGTGCCATGGTCAGCAGTTGGATTATGTATCCATACTGGGGAATATGCGATTTTCAATCCATACGGATTTTCTTTTTAGCCATGATAATGTAGCATTCTCCGAGAAATTCACATATCTATCGCTTCCGGACTCTTGAAATCTCTTGAAGCCCTGCGAAGACGTCCTGCGTCAGGAACTGGAAATACATCTCAGAAGACCTCCAAGGACAGTCGAGGACTTGTTGACCCATTTTTCCAGGGTTGCTGGCTGCAAATTTTGACATCGAGTGTCATGTTTATATATGTTTATTGCAGTATTCATCTTAAAAATGCAACTGCCATTAGCTCACTAGTTGATGCTTTCAACTGCCAATCCCTGAAAAGTATCAGTGAATTGGGGGTCATCAACATAAGGATGGAAGTGTTCAAAGCAAGCATAACATACCAAGTCCCATCCCGCTAACTACCAGACATTGCCATTGCCATTGGGGATGGTAGATGTTCCACCTTGCCAAGTTTGATTACTGGATGGAAAATACCAACCAACATGAAAAAGCTGAACCTTCACCAAACGGTTTCCAGTATATGGACGGAACCAGTTTTTTGGATCCCGTGATTGAACCAATTTTCCAATTGCTCTGGATCATTTACCCTCTGGTTATGTCAAAATAGCTGTTGAAAATGGCCATAGAAATAGTTGATTTCCCCATAAATAGCATGGTGATTTTCCATAGTTATGTGGCTGTTTACTAGAGGGTACCACTCCGAAATCTGCTTTCTTGGCCCATCGAATTGATCTCTTTCCCTTCTTACAGGAGTTACAGGAGCCATCATTAAAAAAACTTTGGTTGGATATATATATATATATATGTATATGTCTGTGTGTGTGTTGGGTCGCGCTATATCCAGCTATGGTTCTCAACACATAGTCGATGGTCGATAATTTTTGGATTAGTCCCTGTGGATACCCAAAATTGTTCCATCGATTCACATTCTGAATATCCTCATGTGTCATTTATCTGATGAAAAAATGGAGTCATGATTTGCTCACCCAGAAAAACTAAACAACCATTTATACCCCACTTGGATCAGATGTTGAGGACATGATATACAGGGGTCAATAATCACTTATCTATCGATTCAACAAACAGTATGCATGATAATGAGCCGTAATCGATGACATCTCATACATATGTGACTTGGTTTATACCATATATATATATGTATGTATATGTATGTATATATATATATGTATATATACCGTGAAAACATGTATATGTTAAACAACATGAACTACATAGTGTATGTACACACGTGCATGAAATTACATTACATTATGTTACGTTACATGTGTATATATATAATCACTATATTCATAGAATATCTATGTTTATATCTATATCTATACATATGCATATATTTGTACACTATCTTCACTAGTCACCATTTTTATACATAATTGAGCAGTGTTCAATATACCTCTGTCATTCCACTCCTGCTTGGTAGGGATTTCCCGTTTGGAATGTCATAACATGTCATAACCACCAGTACATGGGGGGAAGTATAATCTAGCATAATCTGGGGTAGTTATTATAGTACCCTGGTATAAAACCAATCTCTCAATATACTTGATGTCCTTAGATTGTTTAAACCCTGGTACTTACTTATTATAATCCCCAAACTAATCATCAATTACTATAAACCGTCTTTTATCAATAGTGTATATATATAGATATATATACATTTGAATTTAATTCATGTTAAATCCCAATATGGCTGATTGTTTACACATGTTTACACCTTAATGAGCCAAGTATGGTAACATAAGTTTACACCATATAAATTCTTTACACCTTAAAGATGAACCTGACAGAACCAATTCACACCTTACTTAACATAAGTTTACACCTTAACAATACACTCTGGTTATTTAACATAGCCACGGTATAGATGGCCCATTTATAGATGATTTTCCCAGCTATAAACCTCCATTCATGGTTGGGATTTTCCATGGCTATGTTAGTCATAACCAGATGGAAAATCACAATTTTTAGTAGGTAAACCATCAATTTTCTTTACACCTTAAATCCCGCAGAAAAATCATCAACCAGGCGCTGAAGGCCTGAGCTGTCCCTTGGCGACGGAATGATCGTAGCTGGCCGTTTCAAAGGCGCGGAGGACGGTCCTGGGACCGGAGGAGAACAACGGGGGCATGGGGATATCACCAAAGTAAATCAGTGTTATATATACCATTATATGTCTAGAACTAGAAATTGAATATTTAAATGATGTGTATATGGGTTATACTATATAATACTATATAATACTATATAATACTATATAATACTATATAATACTATATAATACTATATAATACTATATAATACTATATAATACTATATAATACTATATAATACTATATAATAGTATGATATACTATATAATAGTAAATAATACTATATAATACTATATATATATATCACTATAGTAAACAAGTATAACCTATATTTATACATAATATAGACATATCATATATATATATATGTCTAGACTGTCTAGACTGTCTAGATCTACAAACTATATATATATGTATATAATGTGTATATATGGGTCACTATAGTAAATACGTATCAAATATATATATACATACACATATGTCTACATCTACCAACTAAATATGTATATACTCTGTATATGGGTTATACAATATATATATATATATGTGATGCTGATGTATCTCAAATGTTTAAATCATAGTTGCGTTGATTGCTAGAAATAACTATCCCAGCTACAATCATCTACTGGAGATTCCAAAGCAGGGATGCAAACATCCCCAGATGATCTACCGTTGGATCTGGGACAGCATGTTGATTGAACCAGAACAGGGATGTAAAATGATGTAAACAGATTCGCTGCTGGGGGATATGAAATAGGCAATATACATATATGTATATATGTGATATATATATGTATAGTTCTGACATGGTTCCAACATGTGTAATGGATGAACTATGTAATTAATTACATTTCTATATTATATATATAGTCTATATAGTATATAAATATGTATATTATACTATATATATATGACATGTGTACTATGCATAGGTTCCAACAGGGTTCTTTGGCACTTTCTAACTGGGATCTGAACACTTCAAGCACATCTTTACACTACCTTGCTGGACATCCAAGTCTAGCCTTCAAAATCCTTCACGCATGCGAATAGCTTTTAAAGTGGGCACCAGGTTTTTCAACATGGCATCAATTCTTTTGGATATGTTCCCTGCCTGCAACAGTTCAATTACTTGCGCAGTCAATATGTCATATATATAATATAATATACATATTTATACACTATATAGACTATATATATATAATATAGAAATGTATTTACATAGTTCATCCATTACACATGGCAACCTCATCGAAGGATTTGCCACTGCTATTTCCAACTGCTACGCCAACATGGCGCCCCGCCAAATTGGCTATCTCAAATTTTATTGGCGAGCCACAATTCAAACGTCATCTTTCGCATATTTACGGGGGCTTAAAATGGGGGGATCCCCAAGTCACCATGGGTTTCAATGCTAAGTCATGGTCTGCTTATGGATGATTGGGTCAAGGACTCAAGCACCACCGGTCCTGGAGACGGCCTTTCCTTCCTTCAGCACGGCCTGACTGTCTTCCACCTTCTTGGCCCAGTCCTGAAACGGAGCCCGCGGCCTGGGAAATCCAGGGAAATCCTTCGATGTCCTAGATCTGTTTCTCTTTATCGAGTTTGACCCATTTAGGATCTAAAGCTCTGAATTAGCTGATTTAGTTCAAAACTATGATTTTGATGAAACCAACAACGATTGTGAACACATCTGAAACGCAAACTAACCATGGCCACAAACTGACCATAATCTGTGCAAGTCAGCAGGCCAAAATACTTTTTATGAGGCCTACGAGGCCCAAAGAGACAGGAAGCTCCTTTTCGCTAAGGAATTAAGATTATTTGTCTAGAGTCTGGAGCATTTTATGTGTAAGGTGTCTGACAATTCAGTTTTTTTGTTGAGTCATAAAGATAATATTACATTCGACAATATTCGGGGTCATACAATGTTTGAGAGTATTTCATTTTATCCAAGTAGACATTACCCTCTGGTAAACTAACATAACTATGGAAAATCACAACTTTTAATGGGAAAACTCACTATAAATTGCCATTTTCAATAGCTATGTTAAATTACCAGAGGGTAATACAATACTGGATCATATTCATATTTGTCATGGAACAAGTATCCAGATCAACAAAAGATTAACCAAAAGAAACGAGACTTGGTATTCCAGGTAGAAAACATGTGGCTTGTCTGAATTATCGACGCAATCAACTTGGGGATGCAACCAACAATGGTATTGTACCAACCGGAAGTTTGGATTTGACCAACTGAAATGGAAAGAAATGTGGGGGTTGTCTGTGGAAAAAATGCAAAACAACAAAAACTGACGGTTAGGATTACTTTTATCATCATGTCGCAACACATTGGAGAAAACCCGTATGTGTCGACAAACTCAGATGTGAAAAAACGTTGGGAAACATCCGGGCAAATTTCTGGGAGATTGGAAGGTGAAGTCCCTTTCAAAGGACAATAGAAAGATGCAAAGTGAATGGGAAGTTTGTTCATAAACCCATTCAACTTTGGATATATCTACCATATACCCAACAGGTTGAACCAACTGTGTAATAAATTGGATAAATTTGATTAAACCATATTAAACCCATATATCCAATATTTTCATATACCCAAATAACCCAATTTATCCAACTATGGTGGGGCCCATCCTTCAAATGTTCAAGGCCTCGCGCCCCAATGATCACACTGAGTTCAGCTACAGCTGCAGAAATATGGGTTTACCTCGCTTTTTTCATGGCCAAGCATGTGACAAATTTTGAATCAACACCTGGTTTTGGAACATGAGGTGTCCTAAAATATGGCAACCCGGCTACCATTTTCCCATTGATCACTTCAATCACTTGGATAACGGTGGGGTATCCGCAGGTCCACCTCTTGGACCTTCTTGTTGGCGGAAACATCCTGGCCAGGGCGCCCCCTCGTTCAACCCCTCAACAAGACTAAAATGCTCCAAACCACCAACCAGCTATAGTTGAAATCTATCAATGATACGGCGGGTCCGGTGGAAGAAGTCCTGCACCAGTCTTTATAGATGGTTTTATCATGTATCCGATTTATCCTATTATTTATAGTGTTTCAACGGTTTCAACCATCCTTTTGGTGGTTTATAGGATTTCTTACAAAAAGCCTGGTGAAGGTGGTTTGTTGATCCACAAACTTGCTTCGTGGTTTGTGATCAAATCCAAGTGTATGGCGACACGTGGTTCATGCCACGTAGATTCAGTAGATAGTAACCCGTAATTATACGTGGACGCCCAATTCTTAGCCCATTCAGAATCAGCATTTTTTGACCATCTTATGATGCCTTAAAATGAAATCATACAGTAAGCCTAGGTGTGGACCAACCCGACTTGGCCAATGATCAAAATTCGCAGCTGTTTGTTGCTCGTGGGATGAACCATCCAGCTTTCGATGGCTCCAAAATCCCAAAGATGACCCAATGGCGTGGGGTTGGAATGAACCAATGGCTCACAAGAGCACACCATGAGTTAAAAATAATCCAAAAAAAGAACCAGGGTCATCATCACTATGATGTGGCTTTAGTCAGCAACAAATGGGGACATCGGACCTTATTCACCACGAAATGGATGTAATATTGTAACAGTGGTGAGTTGTTCCCCCCAAAAAAACATCTAATACAATTTCCATAGTTGATCATCAGAATCGTGACAAACTGCTTTGAACTCATGGCCCTTCCCAATTCGACCATCAAGGAGGCCGACGTGGTACCCAACACCGGTTTCAGGTATTCAGAAGGTGTGTCCAAGAATGGGAAATTCCTCAAAATGGCAATATTGATGGGAACACCCTAGGATTAATGCAGTAGTCAAATTTAGATGAGATTGTTGAATTCACCTTCAGATAATCTGATTTGCCATGATAACACCCAAAAATGGCAACGTATATGATGGGTACATGTTCAAACAAATCAATTTGTTGTACCATCTGGTTATTTAACATAGCCATGGAAAATCACCATTTTTAATAGGTAAACCATCTATAAAATAGTTGCGTTTGTTAGCCCTGGGGGTTGGGGGTTCAGATTTTGTATGCGCAAATCTAAAAACATAGGGGGGGGGGGCCCTACAAAACCAGAAACATGTCATTTGAACATGAACATCTTCAATCTACAAAATCTTAATATGCAACCCCACTTGGGCTTACACCTGTCACCCCCTCCAAATCTACAAAATCCAAATCATAGAAATCCATCTGCTATATAAAGGCATTAAACATTGATTCATAAAACCTTGAAAAATTGTCTCAGAAAAAATGCATTTTGTAGAGAAACCAGTGTTTGAAGTATAAAAATCAGCTTGATTCACTTGTTGATTTTGTAGAGGCCCTGATTTTCCATGATTTTCCTCTGCACGCTGGCTTCATCTGTTTTTTTTCCGCTGCTCTTTTGTCTTTGACTGAAGTTTTCACCACGCTCTGCAATCTTCAGATTGCTTCAGCATAGTGTCCCGCACTTCATCCCCGTTTGGTACTGTAGATTGTAGATCAAAAACGAATAAAAAAGATCTATGTATGTCTCCACATCAACATCAATGCCATTCAGTTCCAAAATTTCAATGCCACAGAAAATGTGGAATCATACATGTCAATTATTTTTGAAACCAAATGGAACATATAAAATCAACTGAAATCATGGTCCAGCCCATTTCCCTACAAAACCAGAAACATCCGACAAAATCTAAACCATGGCCTTAAACTCCTGAAAACCAAAATTCTACAAAACCAGAAACATCCAAAAAGTAATCCCAAATATCACCCCAAAAATGGCCTCCTACAAAGTCTCAATCAGCTTGAGGAGCATTCAAAATACCATCACATAACTCTCAAAAAAATGGTTTGTTTCAAACGTCAACGTGCTAGATTTTGTAGGGGAAATAGGTGGGCCTATTCTATAAATGGGTCATCTATACCATGGCTATGTTAAATAACCAGAGGGTATCATCTTTTTGGGGCCAAGACTTGATCCTACCCAAATTGGTTATTTTGTAAACCTTGTACCATCCGTAGAGCTTGAGCATCTGCGGTGCAGCCCTGGCCCTGAAATATGTCAGTCTTACCGACGTCAGTCGATGATTCTTCTGAAATTTATCCAATCTATCCTTTTAAGCAATGCTTTCAGAAGCGTTTTGCCGTGCTATTTTCTTGTACTATTGAAGTTATTTTTGTTTACAATGTGTTCATACTGGAGTGTCACGTGAATCGTACATGGAGGTTTCCTAACCTAGGGGTACCTCCAAATCATCCACAATGAGACCATTTTCATATTGAAACCTTTGGTTTTGGGGAAAAAAAACATGACATCTTTATTTCACATCTCCCCCCGGGTGGAAAACAGCCACTTGTTTAAGCGCACCTTCTTGACTTCGGCTGCTTCGGACTTGAGCCTGGCAGGTCAAAAAATGGTTCAAAGATGTGGAGTTCAGCTATCGACAATTCACCCCAAACTGAGGTACCCAAAAGAACTATCACCAAATCTAATAACACTAACAACACTATACAGTTTGTATATATCAATGATATATTGGAAATTGCATGTAACTATATGTAATTGGTATACTGTATGTTTAATATATCCCTACAGTCCCAGAAGTAGTTTCTGCCGGAACAATGCAGGAACCCTCACAAAATTTGCGGGCAGGAACTCGCAGGCAAACTGCCAACTCACCTACCAAACACATGTCTGTGTCCGTGTACTCCGTAGCATTGTTCAAGGAAAATTGTATCCTGTCCTGATTCCCACAAGCAAACTATTGGCTTGAAAATTCTTGGATGTGCTTAAATAATCTTAAATCAACAACAATCCTATAGATTCCAGTGGATTTCATGGGAAAACCAACAATTATTTTCAACAAACCCAGAATTTTCAAAGATACCCCAGCCAATGTCAGTTGAAATTCATCGTCTCATCCTCTCCCCAGCATGGCGCAACTTTTTCACAGCACAGACTTTCGCAATTCGGACGGTGGCACCGTACCAGTACAGCGGGGTTTTTTCAGTGTTTCCCAAAGAAACGGCTCAACACTTCAATGAATTCTCCTCGAGGTCATGATGTCATTTCAATATGAAACAACAGCCAGATGCTTCGAAAAAGCTGTAAGTTCTCCAATCGAAAAAGGCCGGCCTTGTTGTCCCGGCCTGGAGGGCATCCACCAGTCTGCAAGGTCAGCCTTGTTGAGGAAGCGCTGACTTCTTTTTGGCCTTCTCTGCGTACCAATCTCCAAGCTGTTCCTCTTTCGGGGACGCACCAGCCGCAACCACTTGCCTTGGTTGCCACATGTTGCCACTCCTTCGTCTTTGCTTCAACCTTCTTGAGACATAGTAGTCTATTACACATAGATGTATATATATACGTATATATACAATAGTAGTCATACTCATACTGTAGTCATTGGTTATCATTTGGATTATACCATATTATACCATGTTATACACACCAACAGTGAGGACCAGGATCTTCCTCCTATTACCCTTCACCATCGGCCTTTGGAGCCCCGAGCTTTGCATTAGGAAAAGATGAATCATATGAAGTCTATTCTTTATAGGTTACCGTGAGCTGACAAATTTCAGGGGGAAGTGTCAGGTACCTAAAAAGTGGAAGTATCTACCATAGGCAACCCATAGGTAAGGTCAAGTCTACGAAGCTGTATGCAGTGGCACACCCAAAAAGATTGCCTTATATAGTACAGTGCCTCCACTACAGGTAGCTGAAATGGCCAGTGAAACTCATCCCAATTCATCTGGAACATTGTTTCCTGTGTCTTTTTCCCGAAAATGTCCACTCAAAATGGTCAATGTCATCCCCCAAAAGGAATACCCCTCAGGACCCCTGTCTTGGCATTGGATCCTTTCATTTGCGGCAATTTTGGTTGCTGTATTTTTTATAGGAAGGGACTGCAGCCTCCCACCTTTGTCTGGGTGCGCCCAGAGAGGAGCCTGGCGATATGCCGAACTTACTTCTTCTGGTGAACAGCCTATCGTGACTCCGAGTAAATCTGCATCCTTGGCTGCCTCTGGATTCCAACCTGGTTGCTTGCTCTCCCCCCCAGAAAGCTTATCTACACATGACATCTATTCCGCTATGCCACTTTATCTAGAATTATCATGGCCGTTTCCAGCTACAGGCTTGAAAACAATGATTAACTAAGAATGTGAAATAAATGTGAAATAAATGTGAAAAAATAAATGAAAATGCAGTTTAAAAAAATGTGAAAACATGCATTTCAAAAATGTGAAAACATGTTAAAAACATGGAAATGTGGAAAAATGTGAAACAAATGGGAACAAAAGGCAGTTGAAAAGTTCCTGTTTCTTAGCTCCATTTTTCCCATTTTTCCCAGATATAATATGGGTGTTTTTCAGGTTTTCTTTGAAACCCAATGTTGAAATATAGAATGTTAAACTTAAACATTAGGATTCCACATAAGCATATATTATCATATATTCATTTTCAATGATTCATGTGAAAAAATGAAAATCCAGTTGGGAAGGTGGAACTCTGATTTTTTTTTCTTCAGGTTTGAATTTGTTGGGTCCCGTTTTGCTGCAGTTACTTTGCTGCCAGCCCAACTTCTGCAGGTTGAAAATCGGAGAGGAGCAGTTCAAATTGATCGGAAGTGGACTGTGCAGATCGCAGATCTGTTTAATATATCTATAGCAAAGCAATGTCTACCAGGAGCAAAAACATAAAATCAAATTGCAGAAGGAAAAGAGAACAAAGCTTCAAAATTGCTTTTAAAAAATACATTTTGTTCACATTGTTTTTACATTTTTAAAATACATGGTTTTTCACATTTCAAACATAATACATTTTTAAACCACACTTTTTTCACATTCTTTTGGCATGTTTAATTCAAACTACTACAACCCTTCTGTAACTCAGTTGGCCACGATAAATCTAGAATCCTGATGTCGACCTTTTGACTGTGGCTCATGTATATATGGGGCCAGGGAGGGAGAGACAACAGAAAATCTTCGGTATTTAGATCAATAATTATCAATTAATATGTAAGGAAATTGATTGCTTGCGTTATTCAATCCATCCATATCCATCCTGGATAACAATTATAAGTTACGCACTGCATTTGGAGAAACGCGTTCCATTTGTTGGGGGCTACAGGACGAAAAAAAACTACGTGGAGGTTCATCCTACTTAGAAAGTAGGTCATAACTCAGTTGTAGTTGGACTAACCCTACTTAGCCCATTCATAACCCAGGTATTCTCACCAATTTACCAAATTTTACCAAGATGGGATGAACCACCAAGCGGAACCACAAACCCAGACACTGCTCTCGGGTGATCACTGTAAGCTGCTTCCCAGTACGCCATGGCGTCGAAGGATCATGTCTTGAAAACTGGGGCCCTCCAGTTATAGGTTTGCTTCTAAATCCCATGAACACTTATATCATCTTACTGGTGCTTAGTAGGGAATGGATGGGTTGCTGGGATGATGAAATTACTAGTGATGACTGGGATCATTCCCGAAAATTCCCTGCGTAAAACGCACCAGTAAGTCATCTTATATCCATGTCGACATTCCACGGCCATTCCACGGCAGGCAGGTGATGCCACCGACTCCACTCCAGTCTCAATGATCGATCCACGAAAAAGGCGAAATCAGAAACACGGCCTGGGTCACGCCCTGTGTACTGCGCCACCTTTTTTTGAAAAAAAACCTTGAAGGACGAAAGCCATTGGAAAAAAGGTCCTTGTTTGATATGTATGAATCTGTATGAGGTATATTAGATGGTATATGTACATATGTGATCAGATGTGGGGTATGTATTGCTCCTCAAATTCTCTTCAATACTGCCAACACTCCTAGTCCGGCTTGCCGGAGTTGCAATCACATCACTATTAACGTGAAGCCAATACTCCCAGCACCACAAGGAACGTTCTCAGATTGTGATTGTGTGTCACTTGGTTGCAATCGGAGTTTTCCAGCGTTTGCGGTGTTGGCCCAAATTTCCAGGTCCAAAATGCCCAACTGTTGTGGTACTAAGTACAGAGCCAATCGTTGACTTGTTCGATGTATTAGCTGAATGATTCATAGATCGTATAGATAGTCATAAGTACCTAGCCATAGGATCCATGGTGCTGGTATATATGCCAACATGACTGGGGTATATTGATGGGATCCATGTTACCATATATAGCAGCACCATGGATCCTATGGGCGAAAAAGAGCGTTGAGGGAGATGAAATAATCAGCGACAGTCATGATCAAGTCGAATCATAAGCACATAGCGATGATCCACAAAGGATATTAAATGATGATGAATTAATAATCCCAAAAAAAAAGCTTATCGTTCAGAATATATAGAGATAGTCTACACTTAAATCTTCTATAGATAGTCATCAACATGGGATATCTACATATATCTACCAGATTTCCATGTGGAAATCCATTAAAAAAAATCCATGCCCCCCATGAACCCCGACGTCGTCCGTGTCGTGTCCTGGTAATTTCTTGCTCAATACTCTCGCCCGGACGACCTCGGCGGATCGACACGAAGAGTCGGCGAACCCAAGCCGCGGGCCGCTTTTGGGCCTTTCGCTTCATGTTTAACTGGGGCAATAACCTGAGTTGAAGAGATTAAGGCTATATATTACCCATAGGATCCATGTATGGTATATATGCTAACGTTTGGGGTATATTGATGGTAAAATATGGTAAATGTTATCATATATAGCATACATGGATCCTATGGGTTAGGGGTAGTTGTCCCTCACTCACCATGGTTCCAGTGACGGAGATCGGTGACGTCGCTATAATTTACCTAATATACCTCAATATGTCTAGATTGAACATTCTTTAACCAAACAAAATTAAGCATCAAAACGTAGGGGTTAACCAACACTCTGAATTGCCGAAATATGTGTATATACAATATGAGACTGGTTCATTCTTATTCTGGCTGGTGCCTTCAACGCATTCCAAAGATATGCTTAGCTGCTTGTTACTTGGGATCATCGTAAAGAGGATATCATTTCTGAAAAGTGAACCCACCAACCAGATGTATAATTTGGTAGAAAATTCCCTCCCCTCAATATTGAATTTCTCCGGCATCTATTTATGATCCAATACTTTCTTCCGATGTTGCCAAATGGATCCAAATGGTGTATTTGAAGTGGATTATCCTTTGGTAAACTAACAGTTTGCTATTGAAAATGGCCATGTATAGTGAGTTTTCCCATTAAACATGGTGATTTTCCATAGTTATGTTAGTTTACCAGAGGGTATATTCCCTCTGGTCAATTTCAGATAGCTATGGAAGCCATGGCCCAGCTATAGGATGATTTACCATGGTGATTTACCTACAGCTATAGTAGTTCATGGTGATGTTCCACGAATATTCCCCTGTAAACAGAGACTAAATACGGCAGGGACTTGCCGTACAGCAACAAAGCCGTTTTTTTTTGTGGCCCCAACAAAAACTCACAATTAATTGTGGTTATATAACTCACCAATTGTGGTTATATAACTCACCAACTGTGGTTATAAAACCACTAACCACAATTATCACTGGAACTGCACCGCAAGTTTCTCTTAGATTCTCCAGATATTGGTCAATGGGGATCATCCCAATGAAACCTCGAGTCATCTAAGTATCGCTTGGTATATTGATGACTTGAGGTGAGGCCAAAAAATGGTTAAAAGTTATAGTCCAAATCCCACGCAAAAACAATCAAAAACATATAGTTATACCAGTTATACCATGAAATAACCCACCCAAACGTTGACCAAGTTGACCAAGTTGTAAGTCAACCCTTGCTATCCAGGGCAGGGGGTCTCACCGAGTCTCACATTGTAGCTGTGTGATAGCTGGACATATTCTCAGCCCAGCGAAGCTGTGGGTAATACCGCTAGATTATCGGGCTGAACTATGATTATTTCCTGAAATAAGGTGAAATTCAAACAAAAATGCGGGCGTTCCCTTACTAGCCTGTTGGTCAGGGTCTGTATAATTCATCCAAATATTTAAAAAAAGCAAATTCACTCCAATCTTACGCAGTTGATCATCGTTCTTTACCAGTTAAAATTGCAATAACAAGTTTAGTATCCCCTATTTTTGGGCGAAGCCACATACAGGTGTCCGCCCTTTCCAGTTAAGAAACCATGATCCAAATCATTGAGGAGATAACCCTAACCCGCATTTTTAATGGTTTAGTCACCATCTGTCCCATCTTTGTTGCTGTTAAATTCCCAAGTTTTCCTCGAAGAGATCCTATTTTTGGCAGATTAGATCTCCTGTGTGATTATGATTAAACCACGTTTTTTCCCTAGCAAAAGAACATGTTCCATCAAATTCTTACTGGTGCTTAGCAGGGAATGGATGGGAATGGGGGAATGGGGGAATGGGGGAATGGGGGAATGGGATGATATTAATTACTAGTGATTGTGGATCATTCCCTCATTCCCTGCTAAGCACCAGTAAGTCAAATTTTGCATTCAATCTCAAATGTCACTCATATTACCCATGGACCCAAACTCCCCAGCTATCTCCGCCTATCTCCAGCCGCCGCAAAAATCACCCAGGTGTCCTCACTTTCCCATTGCAGCCGGTCGTCTAGGGTCTCCTCAAGGTGCTCACTGGTCAAAATGGGATGCGGAGTTCTGGTAAAAAATGGGGATAGCATCGTACCATACCTCTAGTACCATCATCAAATTAGCTCATATATCATTAGCAGTGTCATAGATTATCATAAGAATATCATACTCTACCCACCGCTTTTTGAGGTTTTTTGGACGATATTTGTTGGACCTTTACCTACTATGGCTACGAACCAGAGGATCGGTCGCAAATGGCGCCTTCTTTTGGCGCTTGCTGCGGCTTTCCTCCAACTTCGCGCGGCTCCAGGCGACCTTTTTGCAGTCGGAAGCAGCGAACTTGGACAATGTGTTTCCCATAAATGGTGGGTAACACAGTATTAATGGTTGTATAATGGGGATTCATAGTTACTATGGGTTATAGATGGTTAATATTAATAACTAGTCAGTATATGATAACATTAATGTTGTTCATGTGGGTAAATCATGAGTCATTTGCACCATCCCCCAGTCATCACCATTTTTTGTGCTATAAATTTACCATTCCCAGTCATGGATGGTAAAAATGACATTGTTTTACCCACATGAAATGGGAAAAACATGGCCATAGCTTCAGGGTGTCGAAAAAATCGACACCTGAGGATCTGCATCCGGAGCCAAAGCGTAGACAGCCTGGCGTGTAGGAAGAAAGGCTACATGGTGGGGCCCCCTTTTGAACATAACTCCCATAACTATGGTTTATGATTTGCTTAAGGGGTCCCCAAAAAATAAAAATATTCACTATAGATTCCCTAGTCATGGTGGATTTCCCATTGGGAAAATAAGCCAAATCACCGACTAAACAAACCCAGTCTATGGTTGATGATACTTTGAAGTATAGTTACTGGGGTTTTTGTTAACCAACATCACAAATCGGGGCCCACATTGGGTCAACATTGGGTCAACCCATTGGTGAAACCTCAGCCCTGTTCAATTCATGAGCATTCAAAACCAAGGTGCTTGAGCCATGCAACACAAAAACCTGCTGAAAGTCAATTAGGATCATTGTCCTGCAGGAGCGTATATATATAATTATATATATACACATTGACGTAATACATATAGTGACAAATCCATGTTTGATTTATAAAATTTATATGATCGTCACCCCTTGCGATAGAAATCCAGCCTGGCATTGGAAGAATCCCATGGTTTTTTTCCCCAAAAGCTCACCACATACGGATCATTTTCCTTGGGTAACTTCCCACCGATGGTTTTTTTTCATACGTGCCATGGTCAAAACATCGGTGGACTAAGGTCATCCCAGGGTCCCAGGATCAGGATTTCTTATGATGTCTTCATATAGGCCCTATTGGGGATGACTCTCCCGGACGACGTCGATCTCAATTTGAATTCCAACGACCATGGCGTGTAGCCTCTGGTTATGACATTCACACTTCGCCATGGAACATGGCCCTAATCGAAATAGATGTTTTACCGCTTTACCTGGCTTTACCGTTCTGAAAATAGCATGCTGGATCTTTCTTTCCAGTTCGCAAACTGTGAATGTCATAACCAGATGGTCATCATGGAGGAACATTCCAGTGACGGTTTGTCCAGACATTTGTCCAGAATTATATCATCAATACTAGCGTGTGTGGAAGTCCCGCAACCCACCATTTTTCATGGGATATACACGAATTTAATCGAATTTATATCATCCATTAGTCGGTGAGTTGGTGAATCCTCATTTTGTCAGCTACTATCATCTGGTAATTCAACAGAACTTGAACTATGAAACATAAGTTGCTGTTGTTTTTCAAACGGTAAATCATCGAACTAAAGCGGCCATAGCTTCCATAGGCTATTCGTCTTTTGCCAGAGTAGATCCCACTGATATCGCTCTGCTTCTGGCACAAATAATTTCACTTCAACTGCACGCCCAAGCAGTTCATCATTGGTTGTGATACTTTGATACTTTGAACATGACATAATACTACATATCTTCATATTTTTGCAATTATATAAACACCAATCTTCAACATGTTTCATGGCTACCCTCTGGTAAACTAGCAAATTGCTAGTGAAAATGACCATTTATAGTTTGATGAAGCCTTGGAATGCTTAACACTCCAGGCCACATGAGCGCAAAACCCCCTGGCAAGGGCAGGGGCCAACATCGCCGGCAAAGATGGTTGACAAAAATGTCTGCCAACGTGTTCTGCCAAGCAGTTTGGCCAACATGTTTTCCAAGCATTTCACGCCCTTTTACCGTAGCCCTACACATGTGGGGGGGAAGGATGCGCAGCAAACTGTCCTACAGCAAGCACGTCCCCGCAAGCCTTCCAACATGAACCCACCCCGGAGAACGGATTCTTTAATAAGGATTTCCGACCTTCAACGCAGCCATGTCCTGAACAGATCCCAACCATTGCACAAACACAACACAACACAGCACCCAGCCACAACACAGACATATGCCGGAAGCTATTCAAATGCAGCCCAGACACATCCGAACCAACGCTTCCCAGATAAGTTGAAAACATAAGTGAGACACACAAAAAAGGTGCGCCCCACAAACACACATTCAGCCATGGCAAAGCTTCAGCCACGCGTTCTGATATCTTACATTCTATTACTGACATACTTTATCATGTTCTATCTGACGAATTAATATTCTGACATATTGCCTGGCGTTTCTATCTGACATACTATCATTCAGACGTTTTATCTGGCATTTAATCTGACATCTTACACTCTATCTGACATATATTCTGACGTTTTATCCGGCATTCTACTCTACCGACATATTTTCCGACGCTGTATCTGGCATTGCGCCTGACAAGCTCATTTATTTATATATAGCATTAAATTTGACGTTTATTCCTACCTTTTGCCCGCCGTTCGTTCTGGCATTTTATCTGGCATCCTGCCTGACGTTCTATAGATAACCTAAATAAATAAATAGATAAATAAGTAGATAAATAAATATATATATATATATATTATCTGGAATTCTTTCTGGCATTCTATCTGACATTCTCTGTTTGCTATATTTTCTGACGCGTTTTATCTGGCATTCTATTTGGCATTATATCTGGCACCTCTCTGACATATTTTATGACATCGTGTCTGGGATTATTAAATTTCACGAGCTCCTGGGATTTTGTGATTTTTAGGGAATATTGGATATCAAGGTCAAGATGCAATATTTGGTGCAGTGTACCCGCACAAGGGTCGCACGAAAAAACTTAAGCATCATGGTTTGCACGGGTTTGCACTGGATCAGCCTTCCATAAATGGAATTGGTCCAATTAATCGTTCAGAAAAAATGAAACGGTCGGAAACGGTCGGAAAGAATCGGAAACATGATCAGGCCAAAACTTGTCCAACCCGCATTTCTTAAAAAAAAAACATTTCCGCGCAACGCAGTTTTTTTTTTGAAGGTCCAAAGGTGTCCTAGGGGAAACGGTTGGAAACAGTCGGAGATGGCACCTTCGCTCGGCAAAAAAGTAGTTGTTTTGTAGCATATGTTCATGAAACATGTTTGAAAATTATGTAAAAACATGTCTTTTTTGCCGAGCGAAGGTGTGATCTCCGACTGTTTCCAACCGTTTCCCCTTGGACACCTTTGGACCTTCAAAAAAAAAATGCGTTGCGCGAAAATGTTTTTTTTTAAAGAAATGCGGGTTGGACAAGTTTTGGCCCGATCATGTTTCCGACTGTTTCCGACCGTTTCATTTTTTCTGAACGATTAATTGGACCAATTCCATTTATGGAAGGCTGATCCAGTGCAAACCCGTGCAAACCATGACGCTTAAGTTTTTCGTGCGACCCTTGTGCGCGTACACTGCACCAAATATTGCATCTTGACCTTGATATCCAATATTCCCTAAAAATCACAAAATCCCAGGAGCTCGTGAAATTTAATATCTGGGATGTTATCTGGCATAGGGTTCGGGTCCGGATGTGCAAAGAGCTGGCGGGCTCGCCATAAGGCCGTGGTGTCCGGTGTCCGCTGTCTGGCGGATCACCTGGCAGATGGGAAAAAGATGAAACACGTCCAGAACAGTTCCGGCCACGCCCTGAAACACTTCAGGCACCGCAATCTGAAGAGTCTCAGTGAGTCTCCCGAAGAAAGTATTTCTCTCATCCGCGACATGCCTTCTGGTACGTCTAATGCCGAAAACCAAAAATTATCACCAAAACAACAGCACGAGAAACGCTGCAAGAAAAGTAAGCATGAAATTGAACCAAGACCGGCACGGCGTGTTCTGAATCCTGCCCCATCTCACACAGCCGATACTGCAGGGCATGCCCCAGACCAACGAACCCCAAAATCAGAAGGCTCTGCTTGTCATTAAATGACAAGCCGTAGCGCCGAACACCGTAATCGAAGCCAGCGGTTGCTATTTTTTACATATTTCCGCCATCATTCTGAAACCGGTTTCTGGCCAAAATTTGCTGCCAAACAAAAAGAAGGCAACATAAAAAAAAGGCCGGCTTCAAGTGTTTATGGGATATAAGGCAATTTTTCCATACATAAAAGAAATACCACGCTGGTTTGTTAACAAAGTTTTGCTAGCAAGCATCTTTGCCATCCATTTTGGCGTCTTGAATTTTGATACCGGATGGTTTCACAACCCCATAAAAGAAAACAATGACTTTTTCCAAGTGATTTAGGCACAAGAATCTACAAACTGTCATGGAAAGCCATGGAAAAAAAGTTGCCAGGCAACTTTGCGACAAATGTTTTTCACTATCAAGACCTTGCCGCCTCACTGCACCAAGCCGGAAAACCAAAACACCGCAACCCAGAAGTGGGACACCCTCCCCGATCAACCAAGACACCCCCCAGAACTATAGCCAGAACCAAATCATAGTGTTAAGCATTCCGTGACCCTAGCAATTTATAGTTGATTTATCCATTAAACATGGTGATTTTCCATAGTTATGTTAGTTTACCAGAGGCTAATCCATGTTTATCCCATGCAAAAATCCCATAGCCCCAGCTCGACTCCCCCCAGTATCTCCTGCCACTCGGGAGGCAAGCCACTCAAGGCCTCGACCTCGTAACCACTGAGAGATTCTGCGTTGTTTTTTTCCCAAGGGAAACGCTCCATGGTGGAGGAAACACCTCCTTTTATAGTGGAGATTCTAAATCACAATGACACCTCTATGATTAGATGATTTTCCAAGAAAATTTCATTTAGATGATGTTTATAATAGGTGAGATTAGTAGATTATAGATATTATAGATGATTTTGCCATGATTTTGCCATGAACGTCATTGGAATTTATATAGTTGATAAAATGTCCCAGCGAACTAAGTGTCCATTTAGTTCGGGGAATTAATGTACATTTAGAGTTCGATAAATTGTCCTAGCGAACTAAGCCTCCGAATTTAGTTGATTTTCAAACCAGAATCCAGAAACGTTTTGATGATAGAATATATATATATATGCTGAATGGCAGTGAACGGGAATGTATGCTTTGGGGTATGCCAATGCCTCCAAACTGGTTTGTTCCAGACCATGGAATACGGAATGTTGGGGTACTCTATTTTCAATTTGTCAGACAAACCTATGGTGGGTATCAAGCCAGCAAAAAAAATATGGGGGATAGTCATCTGGAGGTTTGGCAACAACCCAAGGACTTGCGGTGGTGAAGTCGTGCTTGAGATCTTCTTCCAAGCTGCGATGCAGTCTTTCCACTTTGACCTTTCCAAGGCCTAGTAGATCACCACCCAGCACGTCTCTCCAAACCGCTTGTGGAACTTGATGTGCTCCATGTACGCCTCCAACCGCTCTTGGTCGGACGCGTCGAGAAGAAACCATGGCGACTTTGAATGTCTTGCAAGGCACCAGCTTCTCCAGTCCTGGCTGCTCTTTCTTGCTCCATTCCCATGGTGCGTTGAGGACGTGGCTCTTGAAGACGGCCTTGCCCAATGTGCGCAATCCATGAGGTCCCCACAGGGACATATCAAACATGGTGAGACCACCAGATTCAGCCAATGTTCCAATTTCTTGGTTTGTTCACTTTTCAAATTTGGTACCCTCCAGTAAACTAACATAGCTACGGAAAATCACGATCTGAATAGGTAAATCAACTATACATAACTATACACCATATTAATTTACATTCATTTACCTGTTTTCCCATTCAATTGAGACCTAACTATTCAATATAATAGGTGGTAAAAATTTAGTGGGAATCTAAATAGTTTACCGGGTTTACCGGTCTCAATCCTGCTCTCCCTGGCCGCGCAGGCGGCGCAAGCGCCTGCACCGGCCGCTTCTTGGAGGCCGAGTCTCTCCGCAGGCTTTCGTACCTGGCCAGGACACATCAAACATTGGGGATGATGCATGGGAATAAGAGAACATATATATATATGTATGTATGTATGTATATATATATATATATGTATACATATGTATATATATATATATATATGTGATGAGCCAATGGGTGTTAATGGGATTTGATGGTATTCAAGTTGAGATTTAAGCCCTTTGCTTTAGTTAGTATAGTGTAATACGATACAATGTAATATGATAACATATGACTGAAACATATATAGTAAAATATCAACCCATGAGAAACTGCTTGGCGAAGTTGGGGTATGTGAAAAAATATGGTAATAACCTCCACAAGTTGGGATATACCGTCCTATAACTAGGGTTCTATATCTACTTATACATGGACTGCACCCCCAATGATATCATTCAACCAATGATGAACTATGAAGGAGATTTTTGCTTACTATGGCGGTATTGTCAGGAATCCAAATCACCAACCCAAACCACCAGCTCATCATTGGTTGAACCATGCTATAATCTACTATAATGTGATACACTATGATAAACTGTAATATCATAAAGTATGTTTTGATTTAATCTAATCGTATATTTGTATAAATATATAGCCACTAGCCAAAAACATATTTTCAGGTTTCTCTGAAAATGGGGTAGACCTCCAACATGAACACTTTTGATTGGGATGATGATCGATGATTGATCAATGGATTGATTTGGGTACCTCATGTTCCGACAAACCCACATGTATGAAGATGTTGCATTTTTTGGAGCGTAGGAGTGAATTTCATTCTTCCGCTCTCACAATGATGAAGAAGCCCCCTGCTCTTTGTCTTCGGGTGTACTACATGCTAGAGTTCTTTCAAGGCTCCATCATCCCAAGTTTTATAAAACAAACTCGCTGACACAACCAAATTTATGACGTGGCTTGTAGCGTTTCCAATCCTCACCTCTCGCGAGCTTGTGGCTCCCGTTGAAGAATCTGACGGAGATCTCGCCTGGTCAGACCGGTGGGAAGATTCCGCTGCAAAAATCTCGGCAAAGCATCATGATTCCTTGACTAGAAGCCAGTTTTGGGGATGATTCCCTTGCAAAACATGAATCATATTCATGCCATTGTGAGGTGGCTATAGTTTGGTGAGAAGAAATGTAACCAAACTCAAACAACAAATTCAGTAGCTGTATCAAACCATGCAAAGTTGTACTAGACCATAGCTAAAGTATTAAGTATATTCATGGGTTTATAAACTACCATCTAGTTATTTAACATAGCCATGGAAAATCCCTTATAAATGGAGGTTTCTAGCTGGGAAAATCATCTATAAATGGGCCATCTATACCATGGCTATGTTAAATAACCAGAGGGTAAGATTATTCATATTATGGGTGTGTATGGCTTTATAAACTAACAAACATCACATCTGGCGTGCCTCACCTCGCATAAACAGTGGACACCCTGTGGTAATGACTAACATAGCTATTGAACATGACCCATAGAAAGTTTGTTTTATAGATGATTCATAAACATGGTGATTTTCCACTTCGCAATTTGTTTCGAATAATTTACGGCTATCTTAAAAACAAAAAAAACTCGAAAACTTATCAGAGGTAACATTTCATGGCATATGATTCTTTGATATTCTTTGACCATTTTAATGTTAAATGACCGGAGGCTATGGGAGATATCTTGAAAATAGCGCCTCGTCAAGCTCTCTCCGTCACGCCAGCCCAGTACCCGATCGTTGTTGTCCTGTCGCCGGGCTGTGGCGACCCGGGGTCAGTTCATCCATTGAGGTTGCCACTGGTGGAGTCTATCCCATGTTGGGGGGAATTTTGGTGTGTTAAAAATCCTTCTTTAATCTTCAAGTGTGTTAAGTGTTACCGTAACATCCCCACTTCTTCAAAAGGGTGAATACATGTGAATAGCAAGAGTTCTACATTGTGCCATCACTAAACTTGTCTAAAAACACAATTATCATGGTGATTTTGTTCATTATTGGCATTGGTTACTATTCATTATTGGTTAAAAACCATTAACAATTCCAGTGAAATAAATCTAATGTACCCAGATCCTATGATTTTTGGAGGAAACCTCATATTTTCACCACCCTGGCTGTCTCTCCCGATACATCGGCTCAAGCTCATGTTCCTCATCGTCCGAGTCGGCCCAGGGCGACCTCAGGCGTGATGTTCCATATCCCATAACATCCATGCTGCTGCTATATATATGCTAACATGACTGGGGTATATTGATGGGATCCATGTTAGCATATATATATATAGCAGCACCATGGATCCGTCATGGGATATGGGATATGAACAAATTACCAGAGGGTATCAGGTTTGAAACAAAATATCAGCTTAAGAAACTCCACACAAGTGTCTTTCCTGGCTCAATGTTGTTCTCTGAGTGGTTGCTATTAAGCCCCTGTCGTTTCTTGGTAACTTCTCTGCAGCAAAGATGGCATCATGGACAGTGGTGTTTTGATCAACTTTATTATGCTGGGATCTCTGGCAAATCTGCAAAATCTTCAAACATCTTTTCGGTAAGGGATAGATTGTACTGCTCAACCGTCTGCTATGTTTTTCGGTTATGGAAAGCCATTCTTGGCTTGTTGTGTTACCCACGAGAAACACAGGAGGCTTGACAAAAACAGCTGTTGAGGTTTGGTCTCTACTTTAGAACATTCAACAGTCAAATACAGTCAAAGTAAGCAGCACATTCAACCAAATAGATAGAATATGGAATTCCTATAAATTTAAAAAAAAAGTAGTTTATGATTAAACAGTCACCCAATGCTGGAAATCCCCATGTTACAAACTTTGTGAAAAAACTGGGGCCCACAGGATGCGTCGCTGTTTATGGGATCATGGAACTTCATGGAACCTGGAAATGGTGTACCTGCAGTCGTAGGTGGAGACCATATCCAGCTGAGCACTGCTTTCTGGGAAAGTTCCGAATATAGGCACTATAGAAATTCGATCCACTATAGAAATTCGATCTGATATGATCTAAGTCACTATCATATCACATTACATTAAGTTGAAATCCCACAAAATTGCTTGAATTGATACCGGAATACATCCTCTACATCCTCATTAGATCATGTTGAATGTTGGTCCTTACAATTTATATGTTTTTTTTCGTGTAAACCCCAGAAAAATGGACGGATGGCCATCTCCCAATATGGGCAACTTACGCAAGCACATATACAATTTATATACATTATGGTATTTCACTACTACATTTTCTGAATAGAAAATGGCAATTTTCTGATAGTTCTCCAATCCTGGCACAAAAAAAGAGGTCACAACATAGGTTCTCCGGTTATCCGTTACACTTCTATCCCGGTTTGATTTCACCCTTTCCCTTCGTTGAATCCTCATTTTGGTGGGTTAAATCCCATTGAAATTCCCATGAAATCCCCTTAAATCCCCATGGATCCTTTTTTTTTCCTAGCTAACGTTCACCCATCGATGTTTTCGTTGACCCCAGGGTACCAATTGCATCCAACTCCGTAATTACCATGTGGTCCCCCCTAGTTAAAAGTTCGTTTATGAAGCCTATTAACTATATAGTTGTAAGCATCATCAACCATAGTCATTGGAGTTATCATCACCTTTGCGATTTCGTGGGCCCCACAAAAAGGTGCCGTACGATATCCCCAGGGCCGGGTATCCATCAATGGGAGATCTTCAGGATCCGATTGATTGGAGGTACCGATTCCTCAAAAAAAAGGCCTAAATTTCAGGCCTAAATTTCGCAGGGAATATACCCACAATATATATGGCCCAACATATGGTACAATTCCGTACCTTCATCTGTTGGTTCCTGAAATGACCATTGAATCCATGTCTTTCTGTGCTGTCCGCGCTGATCATCCTTCTCTTCGAACTTCTCTTCCGCCTCGTCGGGGTCTTCCTGCGAACGCTCGGTCCATGGGAACAAAATAAACACTGATTGGATGAGTTGTTGAGTTTCTATGGAAAAACAACACCGATTTGATTTCAAATTTTGAGTTGATGGTCATGTTTTGAGATATTATGTAAGCTCCCTGAAGATTGAAGTTTTGCTTTTGTAAACATGGATCCGAATCCTAATATGAGACAACATCAAGGTACCAATGGACGCACCAATTGCTGATGATATTCTTTGTCAACATGCAGCATCCTCTTTCTCGGGTCCAATAATTTTGGCGCATCCCCACATAGCTACGCTTCTTCCGAAATGCTTTTGTTAGCTGCTTATTCACTGGGGAATGTTGGCCTTTCTGATCAGTTTGTTCTGAGCCAAGTCATCAATTGTCACTGAACAACTTTATTTTATATAGTGAGTTTAAATTACATGGCCTGATGCTTAAAAATATCTAAGAACCATAGAACATCATACAACTATGTTTTTTTTGGAATGCCCAATTATACTCATGATAGATTCACATCTGTCAAGTTATCGTCACCTCATACGAATGGTTGAATACCAAAAACAGCAAACAAAAAACACGGATCTCAAAATTTAACACACACACACCCAAACAGCCCAGTAGACCCAAAGAGAATGAAGCCTAGTATTTAGCAACCCCCGCAAAAGATAGAACGGTAAAATCCTAAAGTAGTGCTGAAATAGCTGTCTATCTTTATAGGAGTTAGTATGTATGTATATATAATATATGTATATTACATAAACTACAACTAGCCAACAAAATGGTTCAACGGTTGTTCCGTCTATTGAAGAGCGCTCGAAATCTTGCTGTGTGATTCACGGGACCCTCCGGTGTCATCGTGGGAAGTTGGCAAATCCCCAGTAAAGGGTCTATGGCTGGGAAAATAGGCTATAAATGGGACATGTTCCATTGCCATGTTTGTTTAATGACACCACAGAATTGTCCCCAAATTTATGGGAGATACACATTCAACATCGAAATATCAACATCAAAAATCCTACTAGATTGGTCCACATGCAACACGTGTTTTCTTGACTTTTCCAGGGTGGCTTAACGGAGGTTGTGGATAAAGCACGGTCCAAAACGCTTGGTCCACCAAGGCCCAAGGCCTTCGCAAAGGAGGACATGGGCTCCACGGCTCCACTCCGCGCTCAACATGCGCTCGAAGAACGGTGGTGATGTGGAGCGCCAAATGGTCATGTGGAGAGCGAGTCGTGGAACTTGGTGACTTTTGACATATCTGGGATATATCTGGTATATAGTTGTGGAATGTTGTGGAATGGTGTGGACGTTCAGAAAGAAGGGTTTTTTTTTGCCATCCCCAATTTAGGTAAATTGGCAGATGCAGATGATGCAGAGGCAGACGTTTTTGAATTTCCATCATATCCCGAGCTTAGCTCAAGCTGAAGGTCATGGACGCATCACCAATTGGAGCACTTTTGAATATGGTTATGGGTCAAAACCCTGGTAGGATTGTTGTTCCCCCAGTCAGTTCAGGTCAGTTCACATCAGTTTTAATCGAATTTGACCCATCCCCATATGTTGAAAACAATTTGGCACCTGCAACCAGAAACCATGCTGCCTTGGTCCCTTGGTCATCTGCCCAGCTGGAGCAAGAGATGCCGTATTTCCACCACTTGGGTGTCTCCAGGAAATGGTGGATTGATTGATTCATCCCCAATATATGGGGGTTTCCATTTACCCCGAAATGGATGGTTATTATATGTTTATATACAATGGAAAATCCTCTTGAAACGGATGATTTGGGGGTACCCCCATTTTAGGAAACCTCTACATGGCTTTAAACTTGGACGATGATGATAGCGACAAAGGATTGATGTCCGGGGAATACAGGCTGAATTGGCATGTTTCTTCCGATAACATCACCTATCATCACCTCTATTTGGAAGATGACAAAATCATCTTGGACGATTTATCGGAATCCACACCTATCGTCATACTGTGGATGGTTGCGAATTCCTGCACCACCAATTTGGGATGGTAGAAATCCATAGAAATCCTATAGGTAATGGAATGGTAATGGGATGTTTACCACCCATCAACTGGTGCAGGATTTCTTCCACCCACAGTATGACTCAATATCATCAAATTTTGGGAGCCTAGCTTCAGACAATTGCAATTCCGACGGTGAAAAACAACGGTTTGGATCCGACCCCCAAAAAAAGGGACACCTCTCACTGGCTACCGCTGATGCGTATCAAACGGATGGTTTAATGCCTGAACTTGTGGAAACTTCTTGAGGCTTTAAGGTACATTAAGACACATACTCAACCTCCATTTGGAGATGGAAAACTCGTGCGTTCACCTTCCTCACTTCTTGGATCATCGATCTCGAAATCGTCGATGGAAATGACGTAGCAGTGATTTTCGGGATGTCGTGACAAAAAGGGGTCGCCCCTTGGGATTTTCTGGCTGTCACCCACGGATCATTTTCGGGTGACTATATGGACGGTCGCCACACCCCAATTCATCCCAATTCGCGAAAAACGTGTCCCGGTACTTTTTGCGATTTCGCTGCATGCGGCGCGTCACTTCAAAGAAATCAGCTCTCTGCAAAGAGAGCGCTGCTGGGACAATCATCCCATAAATGGGGTCTCCGGTTTTGTCCAAGATCAAGGATTGGAGCCTTCTGAGAGGCAAAAACACACATCTCTTGTGTTTTAGCATACCCAAAAAAACATTTTAAAAAAAAATAAACACATAAAATGTAACACACCAAAACAACATGTAAAAACTCAGTAAACATGTTGGTAAGATTTTCCATTATTAAACCATCCATTTTGGGTGCCCTCATTTATGGAAAGCCCAAATCAACCTAACCTTTTTCCAACCCTTGACAAGCCAACAGCACCTGCCCTGTGTTTCGCATGGCACTTGGTGTCTTTTCGCTCCACCGGCACACGCACGTTCTGGACCAAGGCGACTAAGAGACGTTTTTCATTGCCACCACTTGGCCGAATTGATGACAAAAAATATTACAAAACAATTCCGCGTTCTGCAAGCTACCCAGCAATTTCTCAGATTTTCTCACCTTTTTTTCCTTCAAACGACATCTTTTGGTCTCGGTCCGCAGGGTCCACCGTCGGGCTCCTTTTCGAAGGCCCCACGGTGCTGTTCTCGTTGGCCTCGAGATGCTTCGAAGCTGCAGCTGCCCGTGGTGAGACTCAAATGTCAACGTGGAAATATGGCAATGATAAACCCAACAAACAGTGATGTATGCAGTGGTTTAATCCTAGTGAACTAGTATTTGATGGGTTTATATTAATATTAAGCTATTATTTAAATTATTTAGTAATTAATATCGTGAAGATAATAGCAATTTTTCCATAAGAACATGATGCCAAGGACGGTCGGACTTTGATGGTTTTACGCCACGCAGTTTATACAGAAAGGTCCCCCAAAAGATAGAAAACTATACCCAAATGCTCCATGGTGCTGGTATATATATATATATGCTAACATGACTGGGGTATATTGATGGGATCCATGTTAGCATATATATATATAATTATATATATATAGCAGCACCATGGATCCTATGGGATATGGAATAACTTTTCATAACTGTTCTATATTGTTGTTGGGACTCCTGCAAGATGGAATAAAATATAACAAAATGAATCTTTGAGGCAGTAAGATCGGTCAGCTTTTAAGTCACTCACAGGCTGTCCGATCCCAGTTCTATGAATTCGTGCCGATTGGTCTCCATCCAATGACGATTCTGGGATACAATCTGAAAGATGGGGGCCTGGGTGCAACTATTAAGTTTGTTTTTGGACTACCAATGTTTTTTTTTCTCCGAAGACGGGGATGGTATGTTAATTCAGTTTTATTCACTTCAGCGGCATCCCTTGTGGTGATGTTACCAGTACTCAGTACTCAGTTTTATGAACTTCAACGTCATCCCAGGTGTTGAAAATAGAAGAAACATCTGGAAGCAATCACAACTTCTCGATTTTTTTTGTGGATGGTTTTCGCGCGAAATTCGCCAGAGGCGAGTTTAGGTCATGTCAGTTTAGGAGGAAAGTGAAGGAACATCTGGTCATCGAAGACCGTCAAAGGGATGGTCAACTTGCAAGTGCAGTTCCAGTTATGAAGTGCTTAAGTGCTACGGTTATATCACATCATATATGACCATAGTCCTACTGTGGATGGTTGCGAAATCCTGCACCACCAAAAGGATGGTTGAAACCCTATAAAGAATGAGATGTTTACCATCTATCAACTGGTACAGGATTTCTTCCATCCACAGTAGGGGCCCCATATCCCAAGTTATTATGGTTTAATTTCCTATGGTTATACCCATGAACATTTCACCTCACATGCACGCCCAAGAAGTGACTCCAAATTATGATGAACGTTAGGCACATCCGTGCAGAGCTGGTCCAAAGTTGGGATATCCCAAAATCCAACCATGAATAAACATCTCACCCTCTACTCAAATGAAGGGTTTAAACGGTTGGACCCTCATGTGAACCAACCACACTCAAAGCTTATAACGTTGGATACATCTCCCATGAAATTTTACCTTCCCATTATATCCAATAAGATGGTTGGTATCATATCCCCATTTTGTTGGTGATAATATGTTACCAAAAAAAAACAGAAAATGTGTTGTATGGAATCACCTCAGAAGCTCTACCACATGGCTTCCAAGCCGCAGCGCTGGTCATAAAATGGTGCAATGGAATGCCAAGCGGTCCAAGGGTAGAAACGCTTTCACATGAAAAAAAACACAAAGGTCATCTTCAACTGCTTCCATTTGTGCTTCTGGTTGAAACTATGTGAAACGATATTGAAAGAAAAATCGCTGGGGCACTCCCAATTTCAATAATATATATATATATATATAGTTATATATTATATATATGATTATCTCCAGTGAAATTGCCGTTTGAGGCTATGATATGAATATCTGACCAAGCCATCATATATTTGCTGCTCCAGGATGCTCCAGGGGATGGCCCAAAACTCAACTCGTCCAATGCTGGCGTCTTCAGTTCTCGCCATGCTGGCTATTAAAGGTGGCTATTAGTGGTGCAGTTGAACGTAGTTTGAACATGTGATAGGTAAATTATGGTAAATTGAAAATCACCATAATATATACTGTAATTTTTAACTTTGGTAGTTAAAATCAATATTTTCAATAGCCCTTTGGTAATTTAACATGGCTATTGAAAATCACCATATTTCATAGGTAGTTATAATCTATAAATAATCTATAACTGGGCCATGTTCAATAGCTATGCAACAAATGACCCGAGGCTCAAACTTTTAAAACTCACAGGGCATCTGTTCATGGCTTCACCATAACTTTGGGATGGAAGTGATGCCACTTCTTCCGCGCTTAGCGGTGATTTTTTTGGGAAATGTATAGATTATGCAAGTATAACCTCCAGTAAACCAAGATGGCCATGGAAAATGGCCCAGTTATAGCTGATTTTCCCATGCACTCCCGCTTATATATGTATATATATATATATTATAAGAGTTATAGAAGGTATTTTCCATAGCGTTACCAGAGGGTATTTATCCGTCATGTTCCGAGGTTGAGTGTTCAAAAATCAGGCCCAATGTGTCCATCAGCACTAAAAAATATGGAAAACATGGGGAACAACTGAAGATCAATGATATAAATATATGACTTCCGTTTATTATCACATATATATATATTGGTATATGTTGGTGATATTTGGCCGAGTTAATGTTAACCAAAACTGCATGATTTGCACCAAAACTCACAGCATCCACCCTCAGACCACTTGGAACCTGCTGACCGTCGCCCAGCACGTGGGGTCGACGGCAGCACGTGACGACCTTTTCGGTCGCCGAAACAAGACTTCAAAAAGTCCAAATCTCGAGTTGCAAAATGGTCTTATTAAGGCAAAACACCAGCTCAAAGAATGATATTTGACTTATTTGACTTATTTGACTTATTTGACTTATTTGACTTATTTGCCATGGTGTGAAACACTTGTTTCATGAATCCATATGATTTGGATTCGGAAAAAAAATTGCTCAAAATGCGCCAAAGGAACAAATCTAGTCATTTTAGATCTCAAACTTTTTATTTTCAATGGCCAGCCTCCTCCCAGGAGTCCAAAGGAGTCATGTGATGGCAGGCCATTTGTCTAGCAATGTATAGTTCTTCCCAAAAAGAGAGGGAATAAAAGCAACTA